GAGTCCAGTTTATGAATAATAAGCAACTTCGCGTGCCAAACATTTTTATGTGTTTAATTTGCTTAACTGCCTGATTTGAATAGTAAGCAGATGAAAGACAAATTTATTTTATCGAATAATGTCTAATACAGTCAAAATACTCGCTTTTAATGAGATCCTTAACCATGAAATCCGAAATTTGTCGTACAGGATTCCTTGAAATATATGATTTGATTTAAGTATCATAAGAAAGGCCATCAACTATCAAGAAGTCTACAACGATAACGGTTGTCCGACCCGTATGGAAATTAGCCTACGAAAGATTTCGGCATACAGCATTTCTACCTTTGACCTCCATTTGCACGACTCCATTTACAGATGGACGTTTCCCCAAGCTTTGACCCCTGGAAGATTCTCCCTATACCTCATCATAGCGAAACTTTACACACTGATTTTGAGAATGGTTCGGAAAGTTGGCGCTTACAAACTGGCTCACATGTTCAAAACTATCATTTTATTCAAAACAATAAACAAAGTGTCGCTTATAGGCACTGATAGCTAATTTTAGGCTAGTCTATCGCAACCTTTGCGTTATCAATTTTTGATTATTGTAACTAAATGGTATGTTAACTAACTTAACCAAAGGTCTTCAGAAAACACAATGACGATTTGGTTATTTTAGTTACAACTATTTTTTGAAAACACAACTAAAACCCGAAAAATAACACGCAAAATTACCAAAATGAGGTCGCTTGAATACTTCTGAGCGGCAGCGTAAAATCCAATTGTTACGTCATTGTTAACTTATTGCTGATTTGTAATTGTTATGGAAGTAAACAAGGAAATCAATGATCGGAGAAACATCAATTTGAAGGCCACTCGCGATTAGTTTTGTAGCCAGAAACAATGGGAACAAGACAATACTAAAGAAGAAAAAATTTATTACATCGTTTTCCTGTTGGTAACCAAACTTGCTATAAGGAGCCCAATCTGGTAACACTGCGCGCACGCGGTTATCTACTGGTTCCGCGTGCGCTTCAAATCACTTGGCGTGCCATGAACAAATCCTCTCGCGTGCCAAGAGTGGCACGCGTGCCAGGGGTTCATATATCATAAATCATATATATAAAGGCTGTAAATTTGACACTTGACAAACGCATTAAAAAATTAGGGGTCGAATCTTGTCTCTTTTGATATTTTTGCAAGACTTGATAGGGCCCTAATAACGTGCGCGATTGCATTTTGTTACAATCACTGATTGTTTCTGTCAGCGTGGCGTGTTTTTGTAAACCTTTACATCTTTACGTCGGTGTTTATTCTCCCTAAATCAAAAATTTTCTAATGACGACGATAATAGCTCTTTTGTTCTCGTGGGGAATTATGAGTTCAATGTGAAAACATCGTTGCCATATTTTAGTCAGTGCTTGATCGGCGACGAGGTGCGAAAATATTTAATAAAGAGGTGAATCCGCAACTCAAATTCTTTGATTGAAAAGCGGCATTATAAAATATTAAAACTAAAACTTAAAACAGAGGATAACACTAAGTTTTGTTTCAACAGACTCACGACAGATTAAAAACGCTTTTTTAGACATTGTAAATCCCAAAATTTCTTGTTATGTTAGGTATTCTTTGGTTATTCATCGTAGAAACTGAAATCGAAACACAGTCAATTATACGCGCGATGTACCTTTTATCCATTCTAAGACTACCGACGGAGCCGCATGCAATAACATAAATTTCTATCGTTCGTATTTTGCCCAGACCTTGTGATTTTCGCTAAATCTACCACACTGCCTCGCAATCAGCCATGATTACGATTATGAATTATGAAGGGCACAAATATCTTATCAAACTACTGGCACCGGTAGTAGGTATGTTCTTTTGTGAGCAATATGACTTTGTTTCTAATATCTTATGATAACAGCGTTGTTCAGGATATACGGTAGTCCACGAGAACTTCGTTTAATTAACTTTGTTTCTCATTTCATGTCCGCGGATTGCCGTGGTAATTTGAGGAGTAATGATTTATTACATTGAACACAATTAACCCAATGAACAAGTCATTTTAAATATGCCCGCATCTGTCATAGATTGCACAATTGTAAATTGTACTTTTCGAGTTTCAACGTTAACTTAGGGCTTTTTGTAAGGGCGATATCTTGCTTACAAATAATCTCGAGTGCGAAAGAACAAATCAAATTTGACAAATCCCAAGATCGCAAAAATACGATTCCAATTTATTTATTGTTGGCTGTCTTTCACGTATTTTATATTATTTTAGAATAGTAATATTTTATTTTAGTAATTCTAATAGTAATCTCGAATCAAACGTGAATAACGATAAGCACAATTAAATTATTATGACAAGACATTTTAAATGTTGCTCGCAATGGTCATGGATTGAAAATTTTACGCAACAGAAATCTCGTTATCCGCTGAAAAAGTTTTTTTTTAGTCGCGAAGAATGTTGCGCGAAAATTTCCGATTCCAATTTTGAACCCCTCTCCCTCTTAAGAATCCTGGCTGCGCTCCTGCTTATAAATATTGTCATTTCTGAATTCCGCCTCTTTGCCATATTTCGAGACTATATTGTTGTCAAATTTTATTAAGGCTGTTATTGCTTCTTTGAACAATTACAGAATTAGCAAAGACAGTTTTTTGAAAAGTAATAGAACAGCACGCGGAGTCCCTAGGTTCATCCCGCGGAGCCCTGGGGCTCCGCACGGAGCACTTTGAGAACCTATGCCCTAGATCATTAACATAGATTATAAAAAGTAAAGGCCCCAAAATTGAGCCCCGTGAAACTCCGCAAGATATTGGGAGATATTGTGAAGTTGTGGAATCTAATTCGACATATTGGCTTCGCTGACACAAGTAGCTTGTCAGTAATTTACCAGCAACACCACGAATTTACCAGCAACACCACGAAAACACCACGATTGACATTCGCGGAGATTGTCGTATCGTACTAGCGCTAAGTACATGCATATCCCCGAACCTGATATTGCCCTGTGAGGGTTGGCAGGTTTGAATTTAGCAGAAGATAATTATGTGCGAAGGGATGGCTGGACTCTTTACAGTCGTAGGATGGTTCGTATATGAAGCTTGTCGGCTGCGGGTTCCATGCACCATAAAGTTCATGCATCTGAAAATAACTCTTCCCGATATGCACTAGTATTCTGGCGAGAAGTCATGGTACATCATAGGTTTAAACCGCGTTATCGACTTCCCTTTCGCCCGAAATAAATATGAAAATCCTGTTCAAATCTTATTTTGCAAGCTTGCAACGTTGGGCATTCTGCAGTGAACCGTAGCGAATAACCCCTGACGTCAGTCAACAATCGATGCTGCGAAGGATCTCAGTTCCTTTGGTCGAGCTGTTTTTGTTTTTCGTCGGCGATTCCAACTTTTTCTACTGGTAATTGTCTGTAATTACTGTTGTTATCGTTTTTGTAATGGATTATTGGTAATAAAGTTATAGGTTTAGGTGGCAGTACTGCTTTGAATATTCATTAGAGGCGAGATAATACTGTAATAACGTACCTTGTTGACGTTCGTGAAGTCTGATTTCTGGATAAATTTTATAATTAAATTGCCATGAATTCCGCTACTGCACCCAGTGCACCACTGACAGAGACACTGACTGGGATTTAAAAAACGAATGGAATACTCCTGATTCTGTAATCAGTTTTATTTATTTTCTTTTAATCAATTATTTTTATCGTTTTTCATGCCGATTATGAAGTCAAAATAAACTTATAGTTCAAAATCAATAGTCGTCATACAGTCACATGATTAAGTCATCTTATCGGTTTTTCTCTCCCTGTGATGATTTTGAAACTTCTAATTAAAGAATTTTATCTAACGATATCATTTAATATGGAAAATAATCATAAAATTTGGAACAAAAATAGGTATATCGACAGTTATTTTATTATTATTTCGTAAAATCGTGAAGAATTTTGAAACATTAGATTATTTCGGTTCCGTTCATTCCTGGTATTAACTAATGTTCAGAATTATCGACACGTGTTGGTGGAGTCTTGTGTCATTTGCTCGATTCGATCCACCATTTGGGTCTGGTCTAGTTTAGTACCACAAGTACTTTCATTGGGCGTAGCATAACGAATTTTGCATATGTTATTCCTAACCCCCACCTGACTATGTCATTTGAAAATTTGGTCACTATGATGTCACAATCATGTCATAGAGCTTGCCAATGTATAGCTACGATCGCCCGAAACGGCATCTGCACTGACCATAACGAACTCTCCAACGCCAGCGATTTTTCTCATATCGGGATCGATGTGGTGAGAAAAATAGCTTGCACGATTTCGGGTGATCGTCGGCGCGTTTTGAACGACCAATTGTTCACTTTGGAGGTTTTTAATACGCCACTGTGACGTCGTAGTGACGTAATTTTTTGGTTAAGTAGTCAGGTGGGAGTTAGGAATGACACATGCAAAAATTGTTGATCCAGGCCAATTAGAAGTGCATGCGATACTAAACTATACCAGACCCCTCCATTTAACCCTTTATTGAAAGTCGAAATGAAATACTTGGAGTTCTACCAACCACCAGTAAATACAGTGCGGCACAGTTCTCCAATTCTAAGAATAAACCCCGCATTGAAAGACATTAATTATACCAGTGAGTGCAAACCCCTCTTACGAGACAGTCTGGCCACTGTATCTGCAAACTGGCACTGCGCAATATACTAAAAGGAGGTGCAGTCTAAAAGTCTCACCAAAAATAATTCGATTTATCGAAGAAATGAAAATTGTACTGTAGCATTCGGGAATGTGGACATTACAATTGATTTATATTATTATCAAGACAAGCATGGCGCGATCTGGTGTTGTGCTGGATGCCCTCAATTTATAGACAAACATAGTGTTTGTTTTATTGAACCAAATGTCGGGTTGTCTTAGAATCGAAGAACGTTATCCTACTGAAATGAAGGTGTGATAATGACAAATTACCAACTTCATACATATTATTACATCATACTGTGCTTATTTTTAGCTTTGTGTCCTTGTAGTTATAAAATCAATATTGTTTAAACGTTTGGTAGTTACTGATCATACATGGTAGTTTTTCAACGTCATCATCACTTTATGGTTCAACGATCTCTCTCATTGTGTTGCACGGTTCAGCGATCTCTCCTGTCATCTTCTCTGGTTTAAGTAACGACAGACTAAATTTGAACTTTTTGGAAAAACTTTTCTTCAAGTGTGTGAAAAAAATTCATATTTACGGTTGAGTGGGTTTTGTCGTGGATGAATGGTTTTGTGCAGGTCATAATTGGAAAGGTCACAGTTGGGTGGATTTCTCTCACACAAAAACACTGGTCACAACTGAGTGATCTCTTCTCTTCACTCTGGCGGAACAACGTTTGACTTCGTACACCCGCTCCGTATTCACATCTGCCGGACTTCTCAAGTCAGACAAACAAGGTAGAGTGACTTTAAATTTTTTCAGAAGATTTGGCTCAAAGTAAGGTCATGCCCCAATACTCCTAAGTAAAGGGGTCTAATCTTGCATGTTTCATCCATTTGTGAATTAAATTCGCTTATAGGTCTGCCTCTTTTGCAACCTATGTGGACGCAATGGGCTTGGCGGTGTGGCACACCGTGATAAGGAATCGGAATACGCTCGCCATCGCACCTCTGATTACCCGCCTTGGGTTCGCAGGTTTGAATCCCATGTGGAAATAATTATGTGCGACAGGATTGCTGGTCTCCTCGTCGTCATGGGAGGGTTCAATTAAAAGCTTGTTCTTTGCAACTTCCTCCGTCATCAAGTCTATGCTTTCGAAAAAAAAAATAACTGGCTAAAATAACTAATCCCATACCTAACATGGACTCGTAACCGGACAAGAGGCAGTAATTTGCCATATGATTAAATAAGTCGTCTTATCCACTTTTCTCCCACCTGGGATAAATATATGATTCCTATCCTAGCAATGACAGCGCATAAAACTGTGTATAAAAATTCTCTTCTAGTTATGGAGCAGGAACACGCAGGGGAGAGCAATGGACAAATTGGCCCAACATCTGGCAATAGTAAATCTGGGACTAAACCTATGAACGGGCGTGCTGGGGGCTCTATGGGCCCCGGATTAGCAATGAAAATACCTGGAAAACAGCCCCCAAGGGCCGCTTCAGCCCCGAAGAAGTCTCGACCGATAAAATCTAACGGAACGGGCAACAAGGAAGGTCAAAGTTCAGTGACTCTAAATCTTCCAAACGGAGGAAATAACAATCATACGGCACCGAAAAGTGCAAGAGACGGAAGAAGGTATTTGGTCTTTAGTTGCGTTTCATTTTTTACGGCGTCTATTCTTTGAGCTGGGCTCTGCACAAACAAAATACTGATATGTAATGGGTTACTATAGTCCGGAACAAGCAACTCTCCATTTTAATATTGCCTCTCTAACTTTTGACACCTGCGGGGTGAGCATGTTGTGGACATGGATTTTCAACTAGAGATGCATCTGCAGTATTGCCATTTTTACGATGTCTGTAATAGTATCGGTATCACTGAAAGTATACCGATTACCGATATTCGGCCCTTTATTTGTTTGCGAAAAATATGTTATCCTGTCCATCACGTACACTCAAGAAAATTGTACATACTTTGACTTTAATAATATATCATTGAAATATCAATTTCGTTCATATCGACAGGTTTTTGTTGTTAACGGTAACGGCGAAATAATCGTCACTGTCATATTTTCTAGGATTCTACATAAAAATAATAATCCAAATTATCTGAATTTATATTTTCCAAATAGTATTATTTGAAACTTTATTAAACTAAATTTACCACTCATGTATTATTTTGATGTCCAGAGCTCAGAAAGAAGACAAAAATCGTCTCAGCACTTCACCGGGAAGTTCGAGCACTGGCAAGGTTAAAAGTCGAGGGAGTTCTCGGAATAATTCTGCTTCACCTGTCGGACGGATGGATAGCGGGGACGCTCTGAGGTGTGTAGCAGAAATATCACCAATAGTAATTGACCAAATTGAGATGAGATTAAGTTAGTGTAGGGGTGGGCAACTTCTCTAGTCGGCAGGCCAGATGTGGGGAAATGAAGTCCTCGGTGGGCGGGTTTATTACAAAAAATAGGTTAATAAAACTTAATATAAAATCGAATTTCTAAAATCTATTTATATTTAGAATCTAAATATAACTGATAACAGTGGTGGGGAATGTTTACAACACTCTCTGCTTTGACATTATATTGATTGTTTAACAAGTGTGCTAACGCAATTGTTTGTTCACTAAGGCAATTGTTCATTTCACCAACTCGCACTGACAGTGCGGTGAGAGTAGAGCGATCAGCAACTTTCATGAATGATGCGTCGGACCACATTACAGAGTGTGGTTGGATACAGTCAGCGGGCCGGTCGAAATCTCGTCGTGGGCCGTATGTTGCCCACCCCTAAGTTCGCAGCCTATTTAATTCATGGGCTGCTGAAATTCCAAAACAAATTTTGTAGGTTAGTTGTAACCAACCAAAAATAGCATGAACAGAAAACAAATTATGCAATTTGAAAGTACAGAAGCATGAATTATTTAAGAAATCAGTTGTTATATCCTTGATTAACATATAATGGTGTTTCACGTCCATATTCCCATATTCTATATTGAAAATTGCGTAATGGTATTGGTGAAAGTTGCAGTATATTGGTGATTCCAGCCTGATTTGTCTGTTTGGTCACAATGATGGAGACTGAAATACTAATTACTATGTTTCTTATTCAATAACGGGCCAGCCTTATAAAGATGTTTCCATTTTGACCACTTGTACACATAGATGGTTCTGCAATTACCAAAACGTCCAAAAAAATTGTGAACCACTGGTCTTGAAATAGCTAATATTATTTCATTTTCCACTAGACCTGAACAGCAACGGCAATCAACATCTCAAAATGAAGGCGGTCTCCCTCTTACTGATGTAGAAGTCACAACACAAAACCTCAAACAACTGTTGCAACTTGGAAACCCTAGCAGAATCGTGTATAGCCGGGTAAGCTTATAGATTTTTCACACAACTAAATTACTGGCTAGTTAGAGATGACATGTACAAACTATGGCCTGCGAGCCAAATCCTGTCTGTTTGGTAATTCAATCTGGCGTGCCTGATGCTGCCACAACCAAACTAAAACGAAATTACGATGTTTTAGCTAAAAAATAGCTTAACGGTTTGTTGAGATCGCGATTGGTTTTTGTGTGAGGCTCATTGTTTTCCACTTTTTCTTTTGTAACACTGTTAATATTGTTCATAAAATGTAACTTATTACGTTACACTTACCTTGCCCACCCTTGAGTTGAAGCAGGGGTGCACAACCTTTTTGCTGTTGGCGGCCACATTGCATTTATTTGTATTCAATACAGCCTCCAGGGGGTTAATGAGCGTGCCGAAAACGTGCAAAATTTTTTTTTGGCCTCTGACGCCATTGACCCATGCAAGGTGCAGTCTGCCCAATTATGAAGTATGTAGGACTACTAGGAAGTATAATATTCGCATTTTAAATGGATTTTTCTTTTCGGTGGAACTATTCTTGAGCAGTGCTTCTGTTTTGCTTCAATATACGCCAGCATAGCCGCCAAATCCTTGTTTTTTGTTTATAGGATTTTGTATGTGGACGGCCGCATTATTTTTTCACGACGGCGGCAGGTTATGCACCGTTGAGTTAGAGCATTGGCTTATTGCATCACGGTCCAGAAGTCTTGCTCAAACCGTGAGCTCGCTGTTGTAATAATGTCAGAAAGAAAATAGTAGCAGCAATGGTTGCTTTTTTGAAACCTCACTTTCAAAATTTAAACATCTCTTGAAAAGGCCTCTCAGTAAGAATTTACGACCTGGAAAATTTACTCTCGTATTAAGCCATTAAAATGGTTATTGAGGATATTCATCCATCTTGATCCCAAATCCAGTTTGGTACTCCCGTAGTATGTGTACCAGCTTAGGGTTAGGCCATAATTATATTCCGATTTTCCTTATTTTAGTTATATTATGAGTTCGGGACTGTTTGTGTTAGCCAAGTGAATATCCCCTTGCCCATAGGTTTCAGTCCCTTTACACAACTTGATGTAAAGTAGGCAAAACTAAATTAAACAAAATTAGTTACCTCCATATTTGTACACACACTTCTGGAGCGCCTTCACTTCAATATAAGTTACTAACTATCAAGGATTTATTTCTCAGATTCAACTTCTCAATATTTCTGAAAATCCTTCATCAAGACATCGACCCGACTGCCTGGAAGAAAGTTTCAATGCGTAAGTTTCTGTTGTGGAGTGTTGCAAAGTCATAGCCATAGTAATACATTGAACTCAGGTAAAACCTTTGTAAGGCAAAGGGATTGGAATTACTCGAACGACACAAATTTTTTTTTGTAAAATTCCACGACCCAACGATATGATCACATACAGTACTATACCGCATGTAGTTTGTTTATGGCCGCAGAATTCAATTACTAATACAAAACAGGCATTTTTGCAAAACATTTATTTCAACAGTGAGTTAATAATATTGATATCATTGCGTTGCTCCACGCAAAATAAAAGCTGTCAAGCTCTTGTATTCTGACACTTCCCACATATACAATTACTATCGAGCAACACTTTAATACGAAATATAAAATGAACAATAGAATTTCCAGGAAATAAAATCAATAACTTTTAGATTTTTTTTTAAAAATCAAGCGTTAATAAGGAAACACTGCCATACCTGTCGTGGACTAGTAACTGGACGAACGGCTGTGGTTTGCCATATGATTACGGTAATTCTTTCATCGGATCCCCTTGTCCTTTTTAATATGAAAAAATCTATTATCTACTCCTTTCAGCTCAAACGGACGATGGGATCCTGAGAACTGGCATCGCTCACTGACATCACCCGTGCCTACCCCAACACCCGGGACTGCTGGAACGGAAAAAGTTCGGAAATTCTCATTTTCAGGTAAGTGGGTTTGTCACTGTATAATTAAGATCTTAGAATGTCACTATTATTGTTGATTGCTATTCATCGTACAATAGAATATCTGTGCAGTCAGAGTTTTGTAGGCTCATTACTTATCGATTTTAATCGTATTGTCTGTTTGTCTGTCTGTTAGTTGCAGGCGATATCTCATGAAAGCGAGATTGAATCTGCTCCAGATTTTGCATGTGCATTCATCACATGTCGGACCAGAAGCCTATTGATTTTGGATTAATTATGTCGTATAATTAGCGAGTTAATAATTAATTTGTGATGGGACACAAGGTGTCACTATGGAGTAAGAGCGCTGTTTTGAGGGATCCTCTAACTTTCGATCGATAAGTCTTCGATCTCTGACTGATATTCTCGTATTGATGCCACAGTTGCATTCACAATTTCCTGGTGCAAAAGTGGGGGTTTCGATTCTGGATTTCTGATATTTATTAAAGATTCCTGAAGTCTAGATTTTAGACTTATAGTTTACCAGAGATAAACGAAGTCATAATTTTAGACAGAAATTCAGAAATTTTTCAAGATTACTTGACGTTGTTAACTTAAAAAAAAGGCTCCTTTGTTTCTGTGATTAAAATCTGTCTGGGACTCAGAGCCAAATGTTGTGCTGGATGGGAGTCCGAGCATGCGGTTTGAGTTTGATGTAAATTTCCTAAGTCAACAATCATGGTTCAATGGCTTGAATCCCTTGGTAGATAATTATATCAGGAATGTTACAAAATGCGCTTTTTTGTGCCAAAAAATATACGCATCACGTCTGCTAAGTACAGTTACGCCATGTACCACTTACATAAACGACAACAATTGCCTGCAGTGTTTTTTTCCTATTTTCACTAGGCTGATTTCCACTGGCGCAGTTTATATTAAAATCTGATTCATTGTTTTGTATCATACCTACCGGTAGTTCTATGCAAGAGAATCTTGCAATCCTTGCTGTCGCTGGTGCTGTTTTTGACACAACTGATGATTGCTTACGGCAGGGTCGGCAACCTACAGCCCAGAATACTATAATTTGACCCACGACGCTCCACTGAATTATAGTAACAAAACAGCTGTTTTGACATTTATATTTTCTACGTGACAGAATTCTTTTTGAGACACTTGTAGACTAAATTATATTATAATCTGACAAGTTTAAAATTCACAATTACTCTCGTTTAATGAGTCTATAATTAAATTATAATTAGTCAAATGGCATCAAAATTTTTTGAGATGCAATGCAATGAGGAAACAAATCTATATTCTATTCGAGAGATGTCTCACTGCTTGATTTTTATTATGAACAGTATCGGTTTTCAACTTTCTAGGAATATGTGCGGCCCGCCAATGACTTCAATTTTGGCCTGCGAGCGACAAAAGGTTGCCGACCCCTGGCTTACGGCTTCCTCCACCATCAAGTCAATGAACAGATTTGAGTTACTATTCTACTGACAATTCTTTTTCTTACAGAGAGTCGAGACAGATTTCCTGACGATGCCCCAGGCCAGGGAGGCGGAGGAATAATACTTGGTCCGCAGAGACGCAGCTTTCAAGATGGTTGTCATGTGACCAATTCTACCACTTCACGGTTGAGTAAACATCATCTTCCAAGTCCAACTGAGCGCCATGGTGGGTGTTTTTTACATGACTTCAGAAAATTTTCAATTGTGTGATTCTGAAAAAAGTAGGGGGGGGGGGGATTATGGGGGGAGCAATAGTTTAGTGGTCAGAGTGTTTGCCTTTACTGTGTTGGCATCACAGATTACACATCTTCAGCTCAATTCTCTTGCTTCCTGACTCACCCAGGGTATAATAGATTGGGTAGCCAAAGCCGAAAACAAATTTCTTGAGGTACATATTTATTAAATTCCTCATATTGGTCATAATTTACAATTGATCTATCGGATATAATATTGTTTTCATCAATTGAAGAACCCTGGTATTATATATCCTGAGAAAATAGTGAATAAATCAATTCTTTTTATTTTGAGAATCCCAACATATCCAGATTTTAACTCATTATATATATTTTGTTTGAACACGACCTAATTTAGATAACCAATATATATGCATTATTTGACCTTTTCTGTTTCAAGGTCGTCCACGTCTCGTTCTTCGACAGCGATCCGAAACTGGGGGAGTTGACTATGAAGGTTCCACTCCACCGAGTTTGCGACAAATTGAGTCCGCAAGTATTTCCAGGGCTTCGGAAGAGTTTGACTGGGACAGAAGAGGGGAGGGGTAAATTTTTTTTTTTTTAACTACACTTATGTGCAATTAAAAATTTAGTAGTTTGTGTATTTTCTCAAATACTATTTTTAATATGGTATGTCGATTAGTGTTGTGTTCAGTAGAAAAATTTACAGTAACATTTGTAAATTTATACAAACAGGAGGTATTAAGAAAATAAATGTTCTGTTGTGTTTTGAATTATTTCAAATTTCCCAGAATTAAATAAACTCTATTATTGAATTGGTTTGGAATTTTTTCAATATTAGATTGATTTCAAATACTCTTGATTCACTAATGGCAGAATTCCTGATTTTATTGACTTCAATCGCTTCACTTTCCTCAAACGTAATCCACCACAACAATTCTAGTTAGTTTCAGTAGCTTTTGAAAATTCAGTTGTCGCCAGCAACTTGGTCCAAAGATTAGTCGCTTTTACTTCACAATTCTATAAAGTTTTAGTAGTTCTTGGCAATTCAGTAGTCGCCAGCAACTTGGCCACAGATTGGTTGCCTTTAGTCCTGAGTGAGTTCGCTATCACGATTCTTCATAGTCCCAATAACTCTCGCCATTTGCGTACTCACCCATACCTCCACTCAAAGATAAGTTTCATTACAACTGAGTTAGTGCGCGTCACCCTGCCTCAATTCTAATCCTATATTTAACGTTCCACAGTCGCTTCAGAGGTGATCGAGACCTGAGTGACCTTCGACCTGAACCCAGGGGTCGGGGTCATCGAGAGTTACCAAGGGATCTGCATGAGCTCAGAAGTGAATACGCAAGAGATCACAGGTTTGGAAAATTTCTTTTTATGGTAAATTCCCCATCCCCCCACATCCACACTTTAAACAAAAAGATACTCAAACACACGCCATTAAATCAGGTACAAATGTAGAAATATCGACATTAGAGTAACTGCTAGATAGGTATACTCATGTGTAACTAATATCAAAGCCATGTCTTCTTTCCAAATGCTGTTTTAAAATGCTCTTTTTAAATAATTTTATTCGGATTTCCTTATTTTAGTTCTATCACGAGTTCAGGAACTGTCTGTGTTAGCTAATGAATATACCTCCTGCCCGTAGGTTTCAGTCCCTTTACACAACTTGATGTAAAGTAGCCAAACAAAATTAGTTACCTCCATATTGGTACACATATATCTGGAGCGCAGACGATTCTCCACTTGTCTTGTTCATTTGTACCACATTTTAGGGCCATGATTTACTTTACTTCTTCCCTTCAAAACTTTTCTTTCTGTTGGAAATTCATGTCCTTTTTCTGAGAGAACTAACCAAAACTGTCTTTTTCAGAGATGGGGATTACAGAGACAGAGAATACAGAGAGAGAAAATTTTCACATGTGAGTTTATTTATATCATCAAGCTGGGTTATTTCTCTGGATAGGCAAAAAGGTCTCTGATTGCTTCCTTTTGAGGACATTTAAGAATGGAAATATTGCAGTGGGGCGAAAAAACTATGCTCAGATTGCTGATTTAGGCTTCAAATAGCATTCTCATCCTACCAATATCGGCCCAATAAGACTGAATATCCCCCGAAAGTAACAGGTTCGTGAGTGTCAGAAGGCACTTGTGCAGCGCTTCGATGGGAGTGAGGAACTTCAATTCTCTCATCTCTGAATTTTCTAATTCCAAGTTAATTAAATAACTTGAAACATTCTACATCAATCCTGTCAGGGAAACAGGTAGCCAAAATCCAATCTCACTAATGCAACCTTTTTATTTTTCTAGTCTCGAGATTTCAACAGCAGTAACTCCTGGTACCAGTCACAACAGAGGGATAGACGAGAAAGAAAATATTCAAACCATGAACCGGAACCGGAATGGTACACTGCTGGTCCTACCAGTCAATTTGATACCATTGAGCTGGCAGGTATGGTCTTATATACACCCAGGACGACTAATATTGGATAATTTATTATTCATACTAAAATAAACTTTCATAGCATATCAGAAATATCGAAATTAAAGTCGTGCATAAGTGCAGCAAAAATCTGGTTGTAAATTACGGTTTCACAGGACTTGTATGGTATTTTTAAAGAAATAAAAATATGTATGTAACCAAATTCAATAATCGTTTGTGTGCACAAATGTGTTTTTTCCCAACACCAATTTAGCAAAAAGAATCCACTTCAAGCCCAATAATATTTCTAGTATTCTGAATTGGGGCCATGTTTAACAGAAAACACATAGAAGGTCAATCTTATTTAATGAGTGTGAATCATAAATCCACAGTGATTTTTACTACTTTCAGAAATCCATCAACCCTTTTATTTTTGAAAGTGTCAATCAAAATTAGTCGTGAGTATCTCTTTCGCAATAAACAGAGTTATCCTGTTTTGTTACCAAACTTTTTTAGGCGCATTTTCCCTTTTGTCTATGTAAGATCTCTTTCCAACTATGCATAATTTCATTATGGATCCGCTAGTGTTATGCTCAACTCACACTCTGGCTCAAGTAAAGCCAAGCCGCGATTTCTGGACCCCGTTGAGGGTAAAGAACCGCAGCCCTCCCACTTTGAGGTAACTTCTGATGATTGGTTATGTAAAAATGATTGTTTCATATCAAACATTTATAATTTTGCGACCATAAAATTGCAACATGCCATTTAGCATTTTAGCACATCCCCAGGTTGCGAAATTTTACAAAAAATTTATTTTTGAGATCATTTGGGTCACTTGAGAAAAATGTTGAAAACTGCTTGTTCAGTTGACTTGGCCCAAGTCTCCTCGACATTGTGAGATTTTAATTCTAATTCGTTCATTTCTCTTTAGGTTTTGAGGAAGACACACCAGCGGCTGCTTCAGATTTCAGTTCTTGGGGAGGGGAAATACCCATGGAGGATTTAGATGAGGGAGGAAATAAGAAAGAAAAAAAACAAGACGATGGCGAAGAGCTAGAGAAAGGTAGACTCGTATTTAATTGCTGTAGTGGAAATTAGGCTCAGCATGAAACAACAAAAAACTTAAAAATCTGCCGTTGTCAAGATATAACCACCGGTCTCTACTGATCTAATCATTTTTAAACTCTTTCACTTTCAATTGTGAAATCACAATGATTTTTTTTGTCTGATTCAAGGCCGAATTATAATATGAATATGAGATTTTTTTTGAATAAAAATTCATTACTATAATAAAAGGGAAAATTTTTTTAATTTTGAAGATACTCTGTATATTATTTTTCAATCCTACTGTAAACTGTGACTGTTTTTGAAAATTTCCATTGTCTTTAAAGTCTCTCTAAAATTTCATTTATCAAAAATTTATTTTCATTTGTCAGCTACTAATTCTGCTCTGTTATACACCAGGTTTGGAAGGCAATCAGAAAGCAGAAAATGAAGATAAAGGACAACAGCTAGATGGTGCTAAAGATCAAGGTTTGTAGTATAGCTTCGTAGGATTTAATAAAATTGAGTTTTTCATTCTCTGTATGGCACTCAAAAAAACATTTTTTTAGGTTCGGAATTGGAAGGGAATAATATGGACCAAAAGGAGTTGGAAGAGAAGAAATTGGCGGATCTGGATTTCAATGATTTGCTTGGAATACCAGGATTTTCAACTGTGAGTTATATAGGCTGTGAATGGGCACGAAATCATTTACGATATGGCGTGGAACACCCCAAGTTGGGTGTTTCAGCAGGGCTGGTTTTGAATCACAATTGCCCGACCCCCCCCACCAACGAGCTTAATTTTTCCTCCAACATGGCGATTTTTTACTGGTTCATGTCAAAACTTCTTACTCCAGTGGACCTTTTCAATACATTTCTCTGTTTCTCGAAACACTGGTTATATTTGTTCTTCAATCTATAATGGATCATTAGCTAGCGATATGTGCAACTCGCACTCTGGCCTTAGTATAATTTGAATAATTCATAACAGGGCTGTGCTTGCCGGTCCGTTTAGTGTGGCCCTTGTCAACACTGAGATTCGCTCCATCAAGCGTAAAAATCCTAATCCGACAGTGTTTAATAAGGCGATCACATGGGTAAAAATACATACCGTAATATTTTTTGTCCTTGTCGCTGCGTTAAATCTTTGGCCGTTTTCCTGGCGCCTTCATTACTGTCAACGCTAAACAATAGCCACATTCTCGGTCTTTTTCCGCATATATAAACTAAATTTTTTGTGTGACCCAGTTAGATGTCGGAAGTTGGTTATCTGCCCCCCCCCCGACAAAAAATGTTTCACACCCCGGTTTATAATGTGTGCGTAAATATGTGTTGCAATAACAACAAATAAGTAAATAATATTAGTAATAATATTCTGTGATGTAAAGCAATACCTTCTTTCTGAACCAAGAAAATTTTTCCCCAATTATGAAATGCTGTTTTAATTAAGATTTGTACCAATTTTAAATGTTACACATTGTCTTTAGGTTATGGAACAAATTTTGAAGGAAAATTCAGTGTCAGTCAGCCCTCGTGTGGATGAAGTATCAGCCGAACCTCAACCACAAGCTGGCCATAATGCACAGCAAGCGTCATCGTCGTCGAGTCGATTCAGCCAATGGTTTCAGAGAGATCAGAATTTGAAAGAGAACGGAAGTGGAGGTTTGTTTATAGCATTATGGAAGGCATGACAGCCGACGATTCGGTAAATCAGTGTCGATTAAGGAAGTCGGTGGCAATTAAGTAAGTTCGTGGCAATGAAGTAAGTCGGTGGCAATTAAGTAAGTCGGTGTCAATTAAGTAAGTTCATGGCAATTGAGTAACTTCGTGGCAATTAAGTTAGTTCGTGGCAAATGAGTAACTTCGTGGCAATTGAGTAACTTCGTGGCAATTGAGTAACTTCGTGGCAATTGAGTAACTTCGTGGCAATTGAGTAACTTCGTGGCAATTGAGTAACTTCGTGGCAATTGAGTAACTTCGTGGCAATTGAGTAACTTCGTGGCAATTGAGTAACTTCGTGGCAATTGAGTAACTTCGTGGCAATTGAGTAACTTCGTGGCAATTGAGTAACTTCGTGGCAATTGAGTAACTTCGTGGCAATTGAGTAACTTCGTGGCAATTGAGTAACTTCGTGGCAATTGAGTAACTTCGTGGCAATTGAGTAACTTCGTGGGCAATTGAGTAACTTCGTGGCAATTGAGTAACTTCGTGGCAATTGAGTAACTTCGTGGCAATTGAGTAACTTCGTGGCAATTGAGTAACTTCGTGGCAATTGAGTAAGTTCGTGGCAATTAAGTAAGTTTGTGGCAATTGAGTAAGTTCGTGGCAATTGAGTAAGTTCGTGGCAATTGAGTAAGTTCGTGGCAATTGAGTAAGTTCGTGGCAATGAAGTAAGTCGGTGTCAATTAAGTAACTTCGTGGCAATTGAGTAACCTCGTGGCAATTAAGTAACTTCATGGCAATTGAGTAAGTTCGTGGCAATGAAGTAACTTTGTGGCAATTAAGTAACTCCGTGGCAATTAAGTAACTTTGTAGCAAATTAGTAAGTCATGGCGAATAAGTCGGTGGCAATTAATGTCTCGTTGGTTACGAGGGTTTCAGCTCATTGCGCAACTGATTACTCTGAATGGGTTCGTAGGTTAAAATATTGTGTGAAGTCAATTTTTGTAACGCGGTTGATTGTTCATGGCGATTGGTGTGTCATGCTATTCGTTAGTAATACGTACATCGTCGCACTTCTGGTTATCCAGCATGGGTTCGCAGATTCAAATCCTGGGGAAAAATTATGCACAAAAGGATTGTTGCAATGATGGTTCACAATTCACATAACTGCTGGTCGGTTACGGCTTCCTCCGCCACCAAGTCCATCCTTCCAACTAACTAATCCCATACCCAACACGGAATGGTAACCAGAGGAGAGGCCGTGGTTCGCCACATGATTAGGCCATCTCATCGCTTTCCCTCTCCCCGCAGGAGAGAAACTCCTAATTTCTGGTCAGTTAGGGCTTGTGGCCGCCTTCCTGAGGGTTTCAGCGCTCATGGCCTCACCTGTTTATGATTCCAATGGTATTTATAGTGGTATTTTGATTGGTAGATTCCAAATCTCATTATGATCAAACAATTCATGCTCAACAAAAAAAAAACACTCCGTAGAATGACCTTATCAAACAATGAAGCTAGGAAGAACAGGGAGTTTTCTTGTAAAGTGAAAAGAAAAATAAGTTGTGCGCCTTGTGGCCCCTTTCCAACTGCTCTGTGGCCACCCGATTGGGAACCGCTGTACTATGTCAACGTGAACTCTTAATCAAAAAACAAACTATTCCGCGACTCAATGCTGTAATCACCCATTCTAATCTAATGATCATTCTATATTCAGGATCTACTCCTCATGAAGAACTTGAAAGTTTGGCAGAGATTGCAGCTGAACGAGGTCTGGCTTCACCTGTGGATGTTGAGTCTAAACAACAACAACCAATAAAGGTGAGATTCTTCTGCTCTCTATGTTTTTTTGTTGGGGGGGGGGGGGGTAGTTGAGATGCCATTCTATGAATATTTTTGGGGGTACGTTGGCCCCAAAAGGTTTGATTTTGATTTTGAAATTTGTGAGCCACGGATTTGAACATTGCTTCTTTTATTTTTGAGGGGTCATGGGTCATGGAAAAGAGGGAAATAAGTTGGCCTAGAACGGTTAGATCCACATTATTGAAATTCTGGTCAGGTCATGGTTAGTTTGAAATTCTGAGTCTTGGTCTGAACTGTGGCTTTGTGGTTCGATACAACCCTCCCTTTTGTCTGTTTAAAACACTTCATTTCTCCCCCACGTAGTAAAATGCTGTTGAATATGAACATCAATTATTATTGGGGGCTCCTGAAGTATGCGAACCAAGATGGCGGACATCGGAATGTAATATGTGTACTAGGTTAGGGTTAGGCCATAATTTTAGGTACAAATACTACGAGAGGCTCTTGGCTAGTCTTCGAACTCATAGTAGGACTAAAATAAGGGAAATTGGAATAAAATTATGGCCTAACCTTAACCTGTTACCCATGCTACGTTTCAATGTCCGCCATCTTGGTTCGCATACTTCAGGAGCACCTATTATTGATTATTATTGATACTCGGGCTTTTGTACAGTTTGTGTAAAACTCCATGCAAATACAAACTAAAATTTTTCCCTAAAACAGTAAAATTCCTCCAGGGTTGGTAAACTCTGTACTATACATTATGGGATTGTTTCCTACATATTCCAGGCCAATTTCACCTGGTTTACTGTCTGTGTTAGCCAAGTGAATATATCCCCTGTCTATATGTTTCAGTCCCTTCACACAAGTTGATGTAAAGTACTACAAAAGTAGGCAACAAAATTAGTTACCTCCATATTGGTACACACACTTCTGGAACGCCAAGCTTGGACCTGAACACTTTAATCTGTGAAATCAACACAGCTGGGTCTAACGCTTTGAACAATTGCAAATCTTTATATTTTTCATTTTCAGGCCGACATTATGAAACTTCTCACTCAGAGTAAGTCTGGGAATTCATCTCCGAAAACTGATATGTTATCGATCGAACAACAACAGGAATTAGCGAGAAAGTTACTCATGCAACAGAGTGAGTTTCGAAATATTTTTTGAACGAGTTCCCTCAAAATGTTTCAAACTCTCAAATAACAGTAAACAGAGTACTGATAGAAGAGTTAAAAGCAACCAAAGAGACGAATTGAAATGACTCCAAAATTTTAGCTTTGTATTGTAATTTATCAAGAATCAACTCTTTTCATCAACTTTCCTATAAACACGATATTGCGGTTAGTCGGCATGGCCTTTTCTTTTTGAAAGTGCGCACAAATTCAACCGAATCTTTAACCTGTGACGCCAATATGGCAAATTCAACGCTTTAACCACTCAGCACAAACGGTGAAAAAAAGCCTTCGAGCTCACGTCGAGCAGGACTTTCCTTTGTTCCATAAAAAGTAACCATTCACTGATCAGTAACTAACTACTTTTGGAAATGAATGTGTGAGAATGTCCTATAGATAAAAAAAAGCGAGTAGGCAACGCCCAACAAGGAAGATTTCTTGCAATAACTCTTATTTGACAGTGACAACTTATATCGATCCTTATTCAAAGTGAAAGGTTGAAAAGGTTTCACTAATGATTTTATTACTTCAATTCAGTGAAATCTGGGGCTGTCATGAGCGTAGCAGAGCTGGAAGCGAAGGCTGGGGCTCGTCAGTCGCCTTCACAAACTTATGGTGGAGTGGATGTGCAGAACACGGATGCCTTCAATAAACTTGTTGCCTCTATCAGAGAGAAGGATAAAATCAGACAAAGAGTAAGTAATTCGGTGGGATATTGAAGAAAATTTGTTTTTGGAGTGGGGGGAGTACTGATAGACATTGCAGGTACCACCGACTTTTCATATTTATCTGCTGACAGAGAGCCCTTAACCGAACATTTGAAAAAATACCATCGAAGAAGGTAAAAGCAAGCTATATATTCCTTGTTGTGTTGAGGTTTTTGGAAACTACTTTTCAAAAGTTTATCTCAGAATGACAATCACTTGGACAAAATGTGAATGTGAACACAAGTTAACAGACTTGACTGCTACAATTCTGGCTTAAATCTGTATTTACTAATAGGCAATTCTTCACTATAATTTTCTAGAGCAGTGGTTCACAACCTTTTATGGCTCGTGACCATCTTCTGGAGTCTCTTAGCACTCATGGCCCGCTCTTTATAGTTCAAGTAGTTTGAGAACAAATGTAAATGAGAGTTGACAAGCCAGATGGAATGCAAAGAAAATTGTTTCGGAAAGTATTTCGTTATAAATTATCTTTTTTATTCCAGCAACAACTCTTGGCTCAACAACAACAACAGCAAGCTGCATTGAATCAATTTCAAATGAAGCAAAATCTGGGTGAGTGGATTTATATTTTGAGATGAAGATGAGTTTTCATATTAATCCATGAGAGAGGAAAGTTTTATTCCAATTTTCCTTCTTATAGTTCTGTGTTAGCCAAGTGAATATACCCTCTGCCCATAGGTTTCAGTCTCTTTACACAACTTGATGTAAACTAGGCGAACATACTTCTGGAGCGCCGAGGAAAGTCGATAACACTGCTCAATCATAAGACCACAGCCTATCGTCAGGTTGAAAAATACTTCAACAGCCCTTCAAAAATAGCGTCTACAAACATCAGTGTTCATAGCCTTATTCTGAAACAAACCTTGCTCTAAATTTTCTCATTCTTAGGCATTCCCGGAGGGCGTATCCCATCCCCCGAAGAACTGGCGGCTCATACTCAGAACATCTTCCAACAGGCTTTGATCAAGAAACAACTAGAAAAGCAGAAAGATGCATACAGAGAGAAAGTCAGGTAGGTTGCGAGTCTTTTTAATAGAAATCTTTTGACTTTTAACCCACTGACCTTTTCAACCTTTTGGTGAAGCCAAGTATTCCAGAAGCTGTAACGCCTGTGTGATGGTTGAATCGTCTTTTCTTGCCTAAATCGGGGCTTTGGGAGGAGGGGGGGCAACTTATAACCCTGCGACCCCGGTTAATAAAGGACTTGGTATACTCTCTGAGACCCCTAAAATTTGTTGCGTGACCCCGTGCGAGGACACAACCCCCAGTTTGTATAATTGTTGAATATGAATATGTTGTATGAATATTTTTGTGTATCACTGCCATAATTGAGATTACTAGGAGACCCAGATCGACCACGATCCTAGACTGGATGGCAGGATGGATGGTTGAAAAGGTTGAAAACTATAGCACTAATGAAAAGGTCTTCTTGAGTACTATGCACTGGATTCCCCTAACAGCTGAAAAAATTAAAAATATTTCATATGTCTTGCACAATTTGAATTCTGGATTCAGCTTCCCAAATCTTGAATTCGCTGGACTAAGTTATTCTGGGTGAATTTCATAAAAAATATTTATATTGCAGACAAATAGAACAACAACGTCGGGAAGAGCAACTTCGTGAAGCGATACGATCGGCTGATGCCAAGATTCAAGAAAGCAAACAAATGAATAAAGTAAGGCTGTTGTTGTCATCACCGAGAGTCAGATAAACCTTACTATCAATATCGACTTCTGACTTTGGGTTGTAAAGATTTTGACTCAGTGATTCTGGGGCGAAGTCTAGAATTTTCAAATAGGAAGTTCTGAAATTTCTAATTGCCAAGTTAGGGCATAACAGCTAGATCAGGGTGGTCCAAGGTTGACGGGCCACAAGATTATTTTTGCATTGTTCGCGGGCCACAATAGTACCAAGAATAGGAAAACAGTGCAATACAAAACAAACACTTTTATTGTGCAAACCCATAGTTATCAGGCACAGCCATTCTAGGCTAATAGAATCCGCATTCGATTTTTAGTTTTACATGGTGCCAAAATTGTTAGCATATATTCTCGACTAAAAAGATAGAAAGCCAGATAATAATTTAGGGGCTCCCGAAGTATGCAAACCAAGATGGCGGACATCGGAATGTAATATGTGTACTAGGTTAGGGTTAGGCCATAATTTTAGGCATAAATACTACGGGAGGCTCTTAGATAGTCTTCGAACTGATAATAGGACTAAAATAAGGAAAATAGGAAAAAAATTATCGCCTAACCCTATGTTACGTTCCGATGTTCGCATACTTCGGGAGCACCATAATTTAGACTGCCAAGCACATCATTTAACTTCTCTAGTTTCCCCAGCTATCCATAACACTATTTAACTCAGTGACCTTAGTGATGACAATATGTCAAAAGATTTTTCTGAATAATTTTATGACGAAACCACATAAAATTAGATTTCTTGATTACTCTCCGAATGTGACGCGGGCCACACGTGGCCGGGGGTCTGGTTTGGACCACCCTGAGCTAAATGGTCTGGCCAGAGGTCGTAAAACGTGGGTTTTAAAGAGTCTTCGAGAGTTCTTCCCATACTTGACACGAACTGGTAGCCAGGATAAAAGTTGCGTTATGATTGAACGCTTTCCTCTCTTTTTTATGACAATTTTTTGATTATTTAGAGCCTTGCATTCATGCCAACATCAGTGATGCGTAAAATGCAAGAAGGTCGTGACAGCAAGCAATCCCAACAAGACGATGTCATGGGAGCTGAAGCTGACGGTTGGTGATATTTTTTTAATGTGGAGGGGGATCTTTTGATGGCATGGGTTAGCATGAGTGACTGTTAGCCTGAGCCTTCTTCAGCGCTAATGTGTGAGACACCCCAAGTTTCAATCTTTTGTAATGTTGGGTAAAAGTCCATAAACTCCGAGTCAAAGGTCATCCAGATCTCAGGTCGAGTCAATTTAAGTTAGTTGAGATTTTGAGTTATTTTATTTAGATGGCTTTTTAAGTCATTTTGAAGTCTTCGATAGATGGTGACCTACTTGTGCTAAGTCATGAAATTTAGCCTCTCCATAATTGGTATGGTCATCTTGATTCCTGCTACAGTGCCTTGCGCACAAAAGTCAGGTGGTCTTTTTTTAGGGCGGGTGTGTAAAAAGATGTCGTATTCCGATTGAAAATTTATGTTGCTTTTCTATTAATTTCCCAACCTATTATTTGCTACCCCCCCTCCCCCAAAAAAAAATTTCAACTTACTGAAATTTAAGAGTTTAACAAGTAACAATGAAGTGCCTCCATTCCATCTAACACTAATCTCATATTTTAATGTTTCTTGTGACAGAATTTATAGAAAAAACATTTTTTGTTTGTTTATTATAGACTTGGCGTCCGCAACTGCTTCGTTCTCTGCAAAACTTGCTGCCAACAGCGGAAAGAAAGTTGATCAGCCGGCAAATGACTTACTCGCAAGAATTTATCAAAGTGCCAGCATGAATCCGTCTAAACAACAAAGTAATCCAGGTGAGACGCAGTTGCTTCTCGAAAGGTTTTATCATATATTTACAAAGAGGGAGGAAGTACATAAGAACCGACATTGGTAAACTACGACCCGCGGGCCAATTTCGGGCCATTGGGTAAATCAATCTGGCCCGCTTGATGCTGCCACAACCAAACTTGAACATTTATTGAGATTGCGAATAAATTTAGTTTTGGCAAGGGGCTTATTGTTTTCCAAATTTGCTTTTGTAACACTGTGAAGATTGTTCATGAATTGCGTCACACTCAGGGGCAAAATGTTTGGCCCCTGATCCCGAAACCTTGCCCACTCCTGCGTAAGAATCATTTGATGGGAAGCAGTTGCCATTAGTTACCAGTTTCAGTTGCATATGCCTTGATAGTGCAGAAGCATTTACAAACCCTACATTTGTTAGCAGTTCGGCAATGATGAAAGTGTTCCAAGGTGGGATGGTGTGCAGGGTGACTAAAAAAACAGAATTCATAATTTTTCTAATTACTTCTATGAAATGAAGAAAAATTGTACTTCTATTTTTGTATGATTGTACCCCAAAAGCAGTGATGGCTGTTTTTTAGAATTGAAATTTCCTGGAATATTTTTTAGCAAAACCTGACTTGGGAATAACCAGGAATACTTGCACTATGATTAGGGAGTCTTATCGGCTTTTATCACCTGATATAGATAATAAAACCCCAATCCTTATAAACAAAATTCAATTAAATTTTTGCAGGACTTCGACGCAACGCCAGTTTCCCGGAAGTTTTATTAGAAGCGAACAAGCATGGCCGAAGTAGTGCTTTCCACCAGCCTGCAAGACAAGGAATGGCGGCAAATAGTATGGATTTGAGCAAGATAAGTGGTGAGCAAACTCGTGGTAACACTAACTGTCTATGAATATATTGGTCTGTGGCTCTATATTTCCCGGGTAGGCCCCTGGAAGGATGGGTGCGTTATCCAATTCGAAAAAAAACATTTTGATCATAAATTTGCCTGGTTGCCAGAAATACAATAAAGATACAGTTAACACGAATTATGACTCATTGGAGAGAAATTTGAATTACGTCAAGTTCATACACTGTTAATCAATGCGATATGTGAGTTGGTTTCTCAATATTAATTTTAGCTTTTTGGGAAAATTATAAATACAGACAGACAGGAGCAGTGTTATGGAATGGTTTAATATTTGATGATGATCTTATTTTTTGAAGCACTTTTTGTCATTCAATGAATTGATTATTATTAATGAATATTTTGCTTCCAGGTTCTAATGATCAAGAAAGAATTAGAAACTTACTTGAAATGCAGAGTGCAGCCTTGCTGAATAAGCAGATGCCTAAGCCTACAGCGCTGAAACAGCAGCCTAATAGCCTTGCTGCTGATATTTACAACAACAATATGCTCAAGGCTGAAAATCAGCAAAACTTTGCTGGTGCAGCGAAGCCTGACCCTGCTGCTGTTGACAAGCATGAGCCTGACATGTCAGAGCTTAAAAATCAGCACGAAGTAGCCTTGCTGACACAATTTGTGTTGAATAAATTTGGCATAAACGAGGACCAGCTCAGCAGGCTCAACTCCCAGCAGCAGCAGGCTGTCGTCAACATTGTTCAGGAACAGTATTACCATCTTCAGGTGAGGATTTCAAGAGTTTTTTCTATGCAAAATCTGGGTAATTCCCCCTCCTCCACAGAATACGGAGATTCTAGGCAGAGTCGCTAAATTTTCAAACTATTTCAAACTTGCCCTCGCCTAAAATTTTGTTCCAAGTTTGAAGGATATTATTACTCTAAAACCGGCTTCCAGTTAGGAAACCAAATTCTGAAAAACTGAATATGCAAACCTTTGTTTATTATTGAAAATGCTTAGTCAACTCGATATTCTAGTTTCTGTCAGAATCTTTGATAAATTCAACATTTTTATTTCGGTTCTTACTGCAGGAAATTTGGAAACATTGCTTCGCCCCTGAATATAATAACAATAAATACTTTCCACAGCCATTCTTATAATTTGCCCAATATTTTTTCTATCTAGGTCCAGAAACAGAGACTTCTTTTGGAGAAGAAATCGCCCAAAGATCCGAACAACCCCATGAGAATCAAACAAGGAGATCTACCCCCAACGAGTGTCACGAAAAACGACATGAAAAAGCCGGAACCGCAACAAATTGACCCCCGGACCACCTCACAACAGGGGTCAGCTTTACCTAAATCTTCCACTGCTCAAGTACCAAGTTCACAAGGGGTTAAATTCCCCCAACAACCCCCAAATACGCTCCCTGGAATGACCCATGGTATGCCGGGTCTAATTCCAACCACAAACCCACAATTGCACCCACTTCAACTTCGCACTCTGGTCCCCCCACCCATGCAATTTTTACCCCCACCCATGGCACGGGGCCCAACTATGATCCCCACAATTCTCCCCCCTCAGACCCACATGCAAGGACGTATCATGCCCCCACCCCCACCCCCGAATGTTCCGTTAGCATCCCCACTGGGCCCCCCTTACCAAGCAGCAGCCTTGATGCACATGCAAATCTACCAACAACAGCAGCACAGAGCCTTGCTGGCAGCAGCAGCCCTACAGCAGCAGCAGCAGTTACAGGCTCAGGCTATTCATGCAGCAGCAAGACAACAACAACAAAATATGAGTAAGTTAATAGAATTTTTCTTTTTGTGACAAATCCAGTATTGGGAGGCTCAAGTTGGTACTCTGTAGTATGTTTAGCAGATTAGGGTTAGGCCATAATTTAATTCCTATTTTTCTTATTTTAGTTCTATTACGAGTTCGCGGAATGATTGTGTTAGCCAAGTGAATATCCCCTTGCCCATAAGTTTCAGTCCCTTTACACAACTTGATGTAAAGTAGGCGAACAAAATTAGTTACCTCCAGATTGGTACACGCAATCCTGGAGCGCCCTCAAGTCACCTACTCGAGTTGGACTCTAGTTTCATCTATCAAACACTCAAAGTGACTCGAGTCATCCAACCGAAATGACTCGGACTTGTGACCTCGGTGATGGACTCCCCTCTAGGAGAGTCAAATTCAATCGCCCAGTGAGATTCTCTGCCCTAAAGCTTGCATCATCATGTAATGACACACAACCTGTTTAATAGGAGACAACCGGGGCGGTGCTGATTTCTCCAATCCCCTTGAGAAATGGTTTGGGCGTGATGTTCTCAGCCAATCACATATGCCTGCTCCCGTTTTAAACCAATCACAAATCCAGAATTTTGGACAACGCCCGATGACCTTGAGTGACATTGAGAGAATCAATCCGTCGAACCAAAAACAGGAATAAAGGTGGGAAGACTTCTATTTTTTGAATTTTTTTTTTGATATTCTAAATAATGGCTATTCAACGACGAACGAATCAGGACCTTTAGAGTTTTTTTTTTGGAACGCATCTGCCTCTTTGATTCGGAGCGTTGGCAGAATCTCCAAAAAAAGTCAAATTTTTTTACTGGGAGGAATTCCTCCCGCTTGAAAAACATTGCTCTCACCGTCAATTTAACTGCAACCACACAAGAGGTCGAGGTTTCATATTTGATTAGGCAATCTCGTGGGATAAATATGGGAGTCTTAACCACAGCAGTATTATGATACGCTTTAGAGAGCAGTGGTTGGCAAAGTTTTTTTCAAGTGAGGCTCAAATAGTATTGTGGAGAAGGTTTTGAGGCCCAACGATTTTGTTGGAAATTTCAAATTTAACCATGTAATAAACAAGTTAACGGACATTTAATTTGTTTAGTTAAAATGAACAGAATATATGATCGTTTGATATGTGAACTAAAACCATTTGTCAATAAAAGTATGGATTTATAAAAATTTTTTGTTTATCACAGCCATAATTTAAATTGAGGCCCCTTAGAAAATGCTTGGCGCAGCACGATTGGGCCACCGACCACTGTTATCAAGAATTCTAAAAGATTTTAATTCTTTTTTAGATTTCACACATAACTGCCAAACGCTACCGATACTTCGCTATGGCCGATACTCCAACTCCCACGAACTTGAAAAAAAACAAACTGAACTACGCCCTTTAGTGGCAAATCATGTATATAGAATTACTTTTTATATTATATTACAATGTAGCGTGTGTGCGTGTTGGTGTTTTTTTATTATTTTTCGTGATTTCAATTTTCTAAATATTTCCATTGGTTTGGTTTTTGACCAAACTTTTCCAATATCAAAATGTGATTTGTGATCCGGAAATAGAATTTGAGTCATACATACACAAAACATTGAAACGCAGTCATATCACGACACGTTCTTTGAGGAGAGCGAAGTAGATTGCAAATCACTCAACAGCGTTCTGTTACCTATTATGGATGAAAATTATCAATTCTGACAACTTCGTGACATTTCATTGAGGAAAGGAAAGTTGATCAGGTTAAGCAACATGAATCTGGTCAACCTTATACACTTAACCACGATCAGATTAAAATCTGGCATCAGTACTTGGAGAAAAATTGAAATCTGGCAACAGTGACTTCAAAAATTAATATCTGGTAGCTACAACTGCAAAAACAAAGAAATCTGGCAACAGAACCTGCAAAAACAATGAAATCTGGCAACAGCCTGCAAATGAAAATTTGAGTAAAATGTTAAGTCACATACACCATAACATTGACTAAACGTTATACCTAGATAACTATATGGTTTAGAAAGTTATTTTGGGTAGTTGTGTTGAGAGTTTATAACTTTGTAAATATATTATTAATCCATCCAGGGCAAAATATGAGGGGTTAGGCTGCAAGTTGTTCCTTGCAAGAATTCTGTGTATTTTCGGTTGATTTTGAAACTGGATGTCGAAATTTTCAAACATTGATTGAAATCTTGAAAAATCGATCGAATATTTCATCAGAACCAGAATTAGTAATTATTTCCTCCTGAAATCAAAAAGGATTCAAAACAAAGTTCCATCCTATGACACAAGTACAGATATTATGATAAAACAATGCAAAGCTTTGTCACCAGCTGTAATGTGTTTTATAGTTCTTCCATAAAACGTTTCGGAAATATAATCTTGATGCCATTTTTGATATTTTAAACTTGTGGCCATCAAGCTTTGGAAATTATGATAGAATTTCACGGCGTTTGACTTTTGACAGCCTCTTCCATATAATGGACTGGTTACTGGATGATAGGGTATGGTTCGGACGTCTTATGGACTTTCCCTTGGATAAATAGAGAAATCCTGTCTTATGATACTAGTTTTACAGAGTTTGCTTAAGACAAAATTCCTAGCTCTTTTGACCACCATCTGTTGTGTATTTGTATATGTGAGCCAAATTGAGTTAATGTCTCATAAATTAAATTTGAATACTTTTCAGAAACATGACTTCCAGACTGTTTTAATTATTTTGAAATTACTTATATTCCCAGAGAGATGCAATATTGCACAGCCTTTGACTTGTGACGCGCCTCCCATATGATGGTCATATAATGATAACTGGTCAAGCTGTCTTATCGACTTTCCTAATTTTATAAAATAATTTGATATAAATTTCAGAGAATACTGCCATTTCAATATTTAAAATCGTGAGCCAATCACACTTCTGTGATTTTCATGGAACTGGCTAATTTCCTTATACGCTGTAAGATATGATATTGCCTCCCTTCTGTCTCTTATATTAATGGATTGACCCATGTTCTATGTTGCATGCCTCACCTCTTTATATTTTGCCCTGGTAATCCACCTTTTGTACATAGATCACCTCATGTTTTTTGCTTGACTGTGAATTTTTGTGCACGGTTATTTTTCTCGTCACCCCGTTTTGTGGTCAGTACTTGTTTTTGGTTGAACAGATACCCAGCATTGGAGTCTGCAACTGCTTAATGAATATTACTGATAGGTTGCGAGCCATAATACTAAAATTATGAATCATATAAAACAAGGCAAGAATTGTTATTTCATTGTTGAAAATTTCACAAACCTGCAATTTTGAAAAATGAAATATTCACATTTCTCCATAGGAAAATCTTATTTCCAAAAGCAACGATTTTAGAATTTGTTTTGAACTAACTGTAAGTTCTCTGATTTGATTTTTATTATATAAAAGAGGCATCACAACACACTTTGGTGCCTATTGGACCTTAGATGGTGCTCATTAGTCACCAGGGGGCGCTCACTAGTCACTGGGTGTTGCTTATCTGTATGAGCGGCACTTCAGGATTTGAACCAATTTTTATTTACCAAATTGGCCTCTAGTTGGCAGTCAACTTCAATTCTACAATGAATTGCCTCCCCATTCACATGTTTCTGACCAAAGCATTTACTGACCCTCTGTACATAGTTGTGTAGCAAGGCCTGCCTGTAGAAATTTTTGCTTTTTCACTATTTTCTCCGTTTATTTTTTCTATTTTGTGTATCTTTTTTGTTATCGCCAAATTTCTTTTGACATTGTTTTTTTTTCTGATATATCTGGTTTCAATGTGAAATAATTTTTTCTTCCCGATGTTTTTTTTCGGGGAGTGTTTTTCTGACTATTCAAAAAAAATTGGTTTCTTCAAGCTCTACAGAAAAACTTCTTTTTGTCGACATCTTTTTTTTTTGAAAATCACTGAATAACACGTTTAATTGGAACTGTTGTTGGATTTTTGCTAAAATTTTGGAAGAACTCGGGAATTTGATCGAGTTTTTGAACAATAACTTAGCGTCCAAATTTTGTTTTTTTTTTGACAAATTTAAAAAAATTTCCTTCAAATATCATATATGACAAATTAAGTTGAATAAATATGACAAAAATTAAAAAAACAGTTTTCCTAAATTTTCACAAAGTTTCTGAATTTTCATCACAAAAATAAAAAGTTCCGTAACTGTTGTCATTTTTGAGGTGTTTTTGTAAATAATTTTTGTTTGTTTTTGATTATATTTTGTTATTATGATTTTGAAGGTCATCCTATTGATTCAAGGTCATTTCCTCCGACCTTGAGAGGAAAATTGCTAATTAAGTTCATATTCTAATTATTTGCGAATTTCCGAAATATTTACATGATTCGTCATTACAAAATGAAAAATTTAAAAAATTTCTATTTTTGCGACATTTTTAGAAAAACACAAGTGAAAGTTCTTGGTTTTTATGTTTTTCGTAAAAAATATCGAATATTCGGGAGTTATCTATAAATTTTAATACACTTTTAGTTTTGCACTGTGAATTTTTCCGTTTATAATGTAAATAACCCGCTGAGTACCGAGTACTAGTGTCACAAAAACATAAAAAGCAAAAAAAAAAATCGAAAAAATGTAAATAAATTTTGTGTGTGTTTTTAACTGTCGAAAAATTTCAGTAAATTGGTTTATTTTTTGTGTAATTCTTGTACATCTACTGAATTACCATTAAGAAATACAATTTGCTGTTTTTTTAAATAGCTCATGCTCTATATAAACTCTGAAGTAGGCAAAAACTGCATTGCTACAGAGTTGGTTATCTGTAAATAATGTACATAGCGTTTCTTTGCAATATATTTTAGTTGCTATGGCAACTTTTGTCGCCCCTGGCAACTGAACGTGTGAGTTTCTTTGGCTATATTTTTATGTATGTTGCCATGGTGATAACGGTAGCCTGGTAACCTGTCAATTACCGTTGCCATGGTGACATCGTACCATAGCAACCAGTCTTTGTTGTGGTAATGATTTGCCATGGTAACCCGTTTAATTACTGTATATTTCCAAATTTGTAGTTCAATTATATCATCATAATTTCTTATCAATGCTTTCGTCATGGTAACGTTTGTTCCATCATAATTAATATTTCTATGTCGTAATGGTAGTTGTAAGCTGGGCCCAAAAACGGAAGAAACTTTTTTGGCCATAGTCTTATTTTTGAGATGGAATTAAAAAATGTGATGTCATATTATTAGACTGTGACATCACAATACTGTATCAAGGCTTGAAGGGGCTTACCCCTCCCAGTAAATACAACCTCTACTATAGTGTCAAGGGCCCAGCTTCAATGTAAATATTGTTGTATATAGACTTTGTTGTAAATACTATTTTAAAAATGTGGATTTCCCGGAACCCTCACGGCTTGCAAGCTTGAATAAATTCGACCCTGCGACATGAAAATCTCATATTTACCTTTTTTTTTAAATATCACCCCAACAGACTCTCAGATATGTTCAAAAATTTACATCCCAGTTACTAACTTCTCAAAAAAAAAGATTCAAAAAAAAAATATATTTTGCACTTTTTCAATTTTAAATTCAACTCCCAAGATTTTTCGAATTCCAGATTAATTCGAAAATTTCTACAAATGACAATTCAATTCTTCAATGAGGTCTTGTAATGCTGTGAAGGGTAAATCAATACACTAGAATGGGGGTGAACCAGCTTTTTATGTGACGTTTCCACTATGAACAAGGCCTATCACAAGCAGCCATTGAAAAATATTGAGCCACCAAACACTAGTCCCGGACATTACCATTCATATACCAGTGATGGGTAAAATTCCCTGCACCCCAGGTAATAAGCCAAAATTGAGTCCCAATCGAGTCGATCACTGAGTCAAGTCTCACTGGCGGTTTCTTGATAAGTGCCATTTTATTTAGATGATTCAAGGACCACAAGTTCAGCCAATGTTAAATTCGACACTATTATAGCGAATGCGATTAGTATCGTCACAGTAAATTTTGCAAAAAATTCATTGCTTGCATCGTGCATAGTCCAAGTTCGTCAGTTATATTGACCTGGTAAACTTCTAATATGTGGAATATGATTATGCTCTTTGTTTTTGAAAAATAACACGATCACAGAAAAGCCAACAACTATTTAGAATTATGGTGAATCATCATACACCAGTAAATACTGATTTGAGACTAGCAAAAGTTCCTGAATTTTTGTTATGCAGAACGAGATGCATTAGATTGGTTATGGCTTTTCCGACCCCGTATCCGCCAACCCCACCCTAGTGTTCCCATATCTGTTTTTTTCACTCCATTCTAGTGTTCCTATATATCAATTTGTTGTAAATAGTCGTGGTGTGGACCTATCATTAATATTGTACATAATATGTCTAGTGTACCCGTTGTAGATGTCCTCCCTTTAGGGAATTCCCTTCATTGTTTTATTAAAAGTGAGGAGGACATCTCATCTGGTTTGTGTATATACATAGTGTCGTAAGATTGTGTGGAGACTGAGCACATATGAGAATCGAATGCTTTTTCATAAATAAATAACTCTCCCCCTACTCTCCCAAAAAAAGTTGTTTTAAAAAAATCCAAAATGATAATATTTTTTCTCCTAATCAAACCATACAGTTTGAACTGCCGAAGTTAGTATTTTTCTGGTGATTTTCAGTTGTGCAGATAATGAAACTAAAATTTCAAGCATTTTCAGAAAGCTGTTTTTAAATATCTAAGTTGCACTGATAGCCCACTGGCATTTACTACTCTGCACTGAGAGAACTGGGCAATGTGTTGTCATCATGCTACAAATGACATCATAATATGAAATGATGTCACAATGAGGAATGGCATCCCAATTCATAAATACGGTGGATCCCCCAAAACCTCCCCCCTTTTCTTCCTCTGTGCTTGGTCTCTTCATTGTGATATTGCGTGGTCGTTTTTGTACAGAAATTATAGTTCAAAAAAAATTTGGTGGAAAATTAGGTATCCAAGGACCAAACATGGTTATTGCATAACTTATCTTGTGTTATGTAATTCTTATGTTTGGGCCGAGGATAATATGGATGAAACTGATATGGAAGAGTAAAATTAACTTGCTTTTGAATGTTTGTTCAATTACATATGAAAGCACGTTAATTTAACTGGTTTCTTTGTATTGGAGAGGAGATTTCATAAAATTCGGAATAAAAATACAGTCTAAGAATTTCTTTAGTTTGTGTTTTTTTCGGGGCAGGGTGGAAATGTTGATTGGAGTGCATATTTTGCTCAGATTGCATCGAATATGACTTTCATTGATTTTTCGCGGGTTTAAATTCTGTTGGAGATAGTTATGCACCAAAAGATAGCCGATCTCCATCACCGCAAGATGTTTCACGTTGAACCTGCGGTTCCCTACTTTATGAGAACCCCCTTTTTCAGCACCCCTGGCTCCCTCTTCTACATTCCCACAATTCAAGCACCGTGCACGTTCTATCTAGAAAAAGAGTTCGTAAAACGGGGATACGTTCACCCACTGGGGTACATTTTGACTTTTCAAGGGGTACATTAGATTAAGTATGGAAGTATTCTTTTCATAACTCGTAATCTGCCTTAAAATATTTTTTATTACCTCGTGTTAATAATTTGAATAACCCCTCAGTAAGTCACTAAAGTAAAAGCAGCGTAAAATGTCGCTGTATTTTCGTTGGACACGGAACAATTTTAATTATTTCATGGCTCTGAGGGATTCGTCTTTTTTTTTTGCTTTTCTGCGATGACGTCATCAGAATTAAAAATTGTTGTGGCGGTTCCGCCCCCGCGTCATCGATCTGGTGGTCGGGCGGTAATCTACCGTGACAGATTACACACGTACTACTTCGTTTTGGATTTCCTGTCCATATATTTGAGCATAGCTCTTTTGTGCACCAGAATTTTTTCTGCGTCTATAATACGTGAAATTGCTCTACTGTTAGAAAAGTTTCAGCCCTTTAACTGTAGGTAGCGGCGAGATTCAAAAAAATTTAGAACGGATTCTCTTTTGCTTCGAGTTCGCTAACAACAGGTTCCCTCATTCAAGACAACCTTTCTAAACTAAAATTTTTGAAAAATATGAAGAACGGGTTCGCACAAACCACCTGAATCACACCACTGCATGTAGGTTAGACTCATCATGTCCAACCCAAATGCATTCGGGAACGCAAATTATATTTCAGTTTTGTCCCAGCCCGCACATTGAATAACTTGTCATACATCATGAACTACAATTTTATTTTTAGAAATATAATGAATGGATACTTGGATATTTGTAGGAAGCCCCCGAACTAATGCGAAAATGTTAGATTTGAAAAAAAAAAACCGCTACGTTTTCATAATAAATAATAATTAGTCCTGTGTAGTCTGGGTTCGGAATGGTTTTAAAATTCAGCAGCAGGATGGTCCACGTAACCGCTGGTCGATTGCGTCTCCCACTGTATATTAATAAGTATAAGTTTATTTCGACTAAATAATCAGCAATGGACGATAGAATAATTGATATAAATAAAACTGATTATAAAATCGGAAAAGCAAACGAAACCTCAAGTAAGGTTTAAAGCGTACAGATTTTAGGGGGGAAGATATTGATAAAAGAAATAGTACGTGTTCGCTCACCCAAAAGATAAAAACTAATGAAGGTACGCACGCACACACACACACACACAATCGTCGAGACTGAGACATGATAAGGTCGGGAGTGAAAGAGGCGAAATAATAAAATCAATTACTCAGTAAAAAGAAGAATATATAAATTTCTTTGCCACACCATATTATTTTATGAGGATTGCCAAATTGGATACCGAATTAGTCAACAAGAGTTATATACTGTGGATAGAAAAATGTTCCTCAAAAGATTAGGTGAGTAAACGCGTACCACTTCCTCTTGGCAAAACCTTCCATCTTATATTTTGTACGTTATAAACCTTATCTAAGGTTTCGTTTGCTCCCCTGGTTTCATAATCAGTTTTTATTTATTTGTTTTTATCTGTCAAATGTATTGTTATGCTGATTATGGAGTCAAAATAAACTCATACTTATACTAAGATATCGCCAAGCTGATTATAATTGGAGTCACCTAATGCCCAATTGCCCAATCAGAATTGCCAAGTTGGATGCATGAAGAAGTGGGCTAGACCTGCTTCATTCACCAGATAGAAGCCAAAAGTATCCAAATTAACGTCCAAATTATACCATTACTCAATAGAAGCACCGGTAATTATATTAATTAAGGCGGTATAATACTGAGGTAGAAAAATTGGTTACAAAAATATATAGGTTATTAAAGTTTCGAATAAGGTTTCTAAAGTCTGAAAGTCATGGATTAGAGGCAAGCAAATTTAATTGTGGTTGTTGATCCATGTGGTCAGTTCAAATTCATCACGAATGATTCATTAGTCTGCAAGTCTTGTTGATGTATACACCTTTTATGTTGAATTAGCTAGAATTGCTCATCATGACGTTCTGAATGTCCACTGCCATCAGGTCCATGCATCTGAAACTAATAACTAGTTAACTAATCACATAGTCTCTCCTGGTTCCGCAGTTACCTGACTGGTCGCAAACAAATGTTAGTTTATGACGGGCACTCTTCAAGCAAATACGGTGACTTAACAATTGGGGCCCCCAAGGGTCGCTAATGGGGCCTATGTTCTTCCTAATTATGACTAATGACTTTCCTAGAGCACTCGCGAACTCTGATGCTATCCTATTTGCTGACGACACCACATCTTTCCTTACATGGGGTTCCTACTTCCTACCAGACCTCATTGAAAAAGCTAATGCTGATCTTACTAATTTCTTACTAATGCTGACCTTACTATTCAATCTTGGCTTACTGCAATCAAACTAACAGTAAATGCGGACAAGACCAAGTACATAATTTTCAGTGCGCCTAGATAAAACTACCCACTCTTAACGATAAGCTAATTCTAAAGTCCAAATACATCCAAAAAGTAAAGCAAATTCGTTTTCTGTGTGTTTTACTCGATGACAAATTGTCGGAGCTATTTCAAAAATCAGTAAAAACCTCAATAAGCCGTGTCCGTTAACATTATACCAGTCATTAGAAAGTCATATACGATATTGCATACATAGCCTACGTGGATGCATCGTCAAAAAAGTATCACAGCAAAAATTCAAAGTGTCTGTAATCAGTTCTTAAGGATGACTTTTGATAGGGGTCGGAGAGATAGTGTCGTAGATCTATTCGATTTACTAAAGCTTGAAATATGTACTTTGATATTTTTATCTTCTACTGGTCAACTCCCTAGTTCAGGGGTTGGCAGCCTTTTACGGCTCGCGTGTCAAAATCTGCTAAATTTAACGACAAAATTCTTCCGCGTGTCGACCAAAATTAAAAACAATGCTTTTTTACTTTTGAAGAAAAAATACATAAAAATAAACCTTTTAAACATGCACAAACATATTCAATATTCGGAAAAATATCAGTCAGATAAATAGATTTGTTTACTTTTCTTATTCTATATCATGGGGACTTCTACTGCTGCATTACCGCTGATAGAAATTTTACATTGGGTTTATATTTTGTAACTTTCAAATATATACACAAACTACTGGTTTTCTTCTTCCGGCTACTCCTGTTACAAAACTTAATGAAGTTCATAAATGAGAACAGAGATTAAAAAGCATATGTAGATGAAACATGGAGAATAATGTAGTTGCAAAGTTTTTAGAACACGAAAATTTTCGGGAATGACATCTCAATCACGCAATAGTTCGTTTTCTCCACTTCTCTTCTTACTAGTACGTTAGCAAGTAAATGTAACCAACATGACCTGTATAGCTTCATAAATCAAACAGAAATGAAGAAAAGGGTGGCAAAGACGTTACGCCAGAATATAGCCAAATGAATGCTGTGCTCTTCTCGAGAGCTGACTCATTTGTACGTCATAATATATTCCTTTGTAGCCATAAGTCATGGAAGGACAAAAAGAGTTTAAGTAAATATCATCAAATTTCATCAGATAATTCAGAGTATTGAAACTTTTATTTGGAGAATGATCTCGCTTCCGATGCCTTGCTCGCGTGCCGAATAAATGGGCTCGCGTGCCAACTTTGGCACGCGTGCCAGGGGTTGCCCACCCCTGCCCTAGTTTCTTTGATCACGTATTCGCAAATAATAATACCCGAAATAGCAGAGGTCACGGCAAATTTTTTGATCCGTATGTTAGAACATCAATAGCCCAAGAATCGATCACATTTTTTGAGCCGATATTATGGAACTCATTGCCTAATAGTATTAAAAGGTCGAAAACGACGTCCGAGAATTTAAATCCAAGCTTAAGAGACATTTATTGGAATTATATCAGATTTAGTGCGTTAAGGATATTCTACTTTTCAGTCATTCTTTTCTACGTACAAAGGGCTCGTAAAAGATGAGAAAAGAATTACAGAGATGAAAAATACCCCCAACCGATCAACCATGTCGTCATGCAACAAACCTCCATTGATCGGAAAACAATTTTCGTATTCGTATTTCGTACAATTTTGGCCCGTATTTTATGCTAGACTCTCTATTGTATGTTTCTTTTGTCCAGTTCAAACAATGATTAACAAACTCAAGCCTAAACAAAAGATTTCTACATTTTCTTTTTAAAATTCTTTTTCTTGTGTCGTTGTCCCATCTAACGTTGGTTTCTGGCAAGTTTATATCCCGAACGAATCTTTACGTGTTTCGTGAGATTCATAAACTAACCGACTATATTGTACATATAGTCGTTGTGTCATTTTGTCTTGTGTATTTCACTAAAAATTTTAATTGTATATCCTATTTCACATCTGTTGTCATATTATAACGCAGCAGTCCTAAACTGCTGTTATAATTGTTAGTAGGGGTGCATATCGCACATCTGTGTCTTAGGCCAGTAAGGTCTTGAACATGTATTCCCGTCTCTGTTTTACTGTTTAAATATTATGCAGATACCGTTATATTTTTGAGGCAAATAAACATACATACATACATAGCCTACCTGATATGGACAGGTATCCGAACGAGAAGCTGTTGCCATGTGGTGACGCCGTTTTGTCGACTTACCTCTCGAGATAAATATGGGAATTCTTAATTTAAGAAACATAAAAAAGGGTCCACGGTAATAAGAAGTTTCACTGATTAAGCGCGAACATGGGGAGTCATGAACAAGAAGACAGATGATTCGCGAATGTGCAAATATCGTCGGATGTTTTAGCGCAAAAAATTCCTCAAAGTTTTGTCGGCATCGCACATGCGCGAAAACTTGCGGTTTTACTGTTTTACACTTCCTGCCGATCGCTGCACAAGGGGCGCCGTTCCAGAAATTTCTCATTCACATTTCACAGCTGGCCTTATATTGTGAACGTAAATTTACGATGCAAACATAAATGTACTTTCATTGTGTTTTATTTTGGTTGAAACAGCATAAAACGTGTTACAAGCTATAACATTCGATATGTTTAACAAATTTTGATAAATGTGTTGATTTCTTAGATTCATATCAAAATTGACGATTGACGAACATTTTGTTATTTTGCAAATATTTATTTTGCATCGTAATTTCCCCATGGCGAAGACGAACATGCTCATTTCGAACTGATCCGGGAGTTCTCGATGTTTCGTAAGTCGCGTTTCACAGCAGAACCGGTACGTCGTTGTTTTGTTAAATTTTGAACGTTTTTTGGTGTTAAACGTGATATACCGGTAACGCTGTCACGCTATTTATTGTTCAGTCGAGAGCGGATAGTTTTAATAACGTAGCAGAATTGTAACACGTAGGTATGGCAGCCGCAGCGAAGCTAGGGGAAAAGGCTGAATCCAGGTTCAGAAGTTATTGAGTTCTGACTCCCTGAAGTTATTACGGTACGGTGGCACAGAACGCTTTAACAAGGAAAGAAGAATAGTTAAGATACCCTAACCTTGAAAAAACTTTACCGAAATAAGAATAACATAGACAGACTGACAGAAGGTTTAGGTAAAAAAAATAGGAATAAATAATGAAATGAGACTTTTTGAACTGGAAAGACTTTATCCAAGTGGTCAAAGCGGATTACAGATGTTTCGTTTCTCTCACCCTCGGACCTTCTCGTTTACTGCGTGGCATATGCGGATATGACTGTATGATGATTTCAGTTATGAGAATTGTTCAATAAAACCTGAAAACGAACACTTTATTTGTCTCTGAAACAAGGATGTCTGGCATGGTCGTCAGATCGCGCCATGCTTGTCTTGATAATAATCTAAATTAATCATGCATTGACCATCAGATGACCAAAATTTTTTTCTAAAACTCTCGAATGCTATTAGACTAGTAATGGCAGTATGAGAAACCCTTCTACGAGTTAACCTGTTCTGTGCGAATAGGTGCATTAGCGCAATTTCAGACGCTGTGTGTAAACCATGAGGTCTGGAATGTTTGTTATGGTCTTGTTTGGAAGAATAGCTCATTTCCTACCCAGCAATATAAGAATGAACGTTATATGACATTTGGAAGTAATAAAATATCGCTTACATTTCACGAGTGTATTTCCCGCTGCGATAGAAAAACGTCGCACAGCAAGAAAATAATTCAATAAACCTTGGCGTTGCGCGCTAACCAATAACAAAAGCTAGTATGATAAGGTCTTATTTTGAAGGTCCTTTTATATACTACATAACATAGGAGAGTGGACATCTCACAACGTCAGGAAGTTATAAAAATATCGAGTCGTTTGATCGCAGCTGCCTCGCCGAAAAAAAGTTAGTTCACATAGGCGTTTTATCTCGCAAATTCTCCTTGTCTCACGATTATAAGCTTTTATGATTCATAATAAATGTTTTATTATGACTCACAAAAGCTTTCAACGCGATAAAGCACAAACAAACAACCGATCGATCTATCAAGCTTAGCCTGGCCTGATTCGATGTGGTGACTTCTCAAACGGAAAATTTCCAAAACGCTTCAACGACACGAGCTAACGAAAAGCGTTTAGTATCATATGAAAGAGAAAACCAATGTGCAGTCAACTGTATAGTCACATTTGCGCTTTTCAATAGCTATACACGTCCAACAGATGATAGAATGAGAGAGTGTAAATATTTTTGTTATTTTTTGACGTTACGAGAGACCTCTTGAAAGAGGTGTTTTAGTTTACGGTCCTCCAGTGACATCTAGCGTATAGTACTCTAAAAGACCTTTCCAATGGTATATAATTATTGCATATTGGGTAAATTTTGGGGGTCGTTTGACATGAATAAAAATGTACTCAAAATTGTGCTCGATTGGGCGTCTGAATCAGGTTAACAAGTTTTCATTTTTTAACCCCTTGTGGGTCATCCTTTTTTATGGACTAACAGCCACAACAACAACAGTAAATATAATAGTTTTAACATATATTCATTCATATTTTTTTCCAGATAAATTACACACTGTAAATAAAAACTTCGTAAACCGAGGTGTAAATCTTAAAATCAACAAGGATCTTTTACTCTGCTTCGTGAATTCCTATCACGTCGGTTTTCATTGATTATTTCCAGCAACTCTGATTGAGATCAAGCTTTGAAAATTATTGAAGGACTTTTGCATTGCAGTCAATTGATCAACTTTATTTTTATTCCTAATCCAAATCTCTCCCGCAAGTAAATATGGCAAAGTGGGGAGAAGGCGATCCACGTTGGATAGTTGAAGAGAGAGCTGATGCTCATAACGTTAATAACTGGCATTGGAGAGAAAGTGATGCCACCCAGTGGTCAAAGAATAAGTTTAAAGGTGAGACATGTTGCAATAAATATAAGGGGCTCCCGAAGTATGCGAACCAAGATGGCGGACATCGGAATGTTATATGTGTATTAGGTTAGGGTTAGGCCATAATTTTAGGTATAAATACTACGGGAGGCTCTTGGCTAGTCTTCGAATTGATAATAGGACTAAAATAAGGGAAATTGGAAAAAAATTATCGCCTAACCCTAACCTGTTACCCATGTTACGTTCCGATGTCCGCCATCTTGGTTCGCATACTTCGGGAGCACCAAATATAACTTATTTGGACGCTTGTTGTGCATGTTATTTGTTTTGCTAAATACTTGTTGTTGCAGTAGAATTACCAGAAACTATTTTTATGAAGATATTCCAAACCAATGGTTTCGACCTTTTTCAGCAAATTCCTTTGCCTATTTGAAATCACTATGTGCAAAAACTGTTTTCATAAATTTTTCATTCTCTCGAGGCATTCAGCTAGTTTTAAACGTAACTTGCACTCTGGTTTTTAGTACGTTCAAACGTGCGTGTTTATATGGATTACAATAATACTGAATAATATTAGTGAAGCTGCACTGAATATAGGTCATGTTTTGATATTTTTCTCTATAAAAAAGTGAGGAAGGAATCGCCCCAGTTGGAAAACTTTTTTTTTAATTTTTTCCAATATCAAGAATATATCAAAGTGACCAATTTCGAATAATATTCTGATATTAAATTTTTTTTTGGACTACTCTATCTTGGTATTTCTACAGTTAAAAATTTATAATTTAATTTTTTCTTGAATAATTCAGAACTTCTTGACGGTATGTTGATCGGTGATGAGAGTGTGGGATCCTGCACTTTATCAAATATAGTCTGCGAAGGAGAGGCTTCTGTTAGCAATAGAAAAAACAAAATCATTTGTTTCTATGAGTGGAAAATCTCAGCTAAGTGGAAAGGAGGCGTGAAGGTGGGCGTGTACTTGATTTGAATATTTTTTTATCAGAAGTTGCGAATTGATGTCTTCCGAGATTCAGCCAACATTCCTCCTTTATCAAAGACTGATTGGTAAATATCTGCTATTTTGGGAACGAGCGTCATTACATTCTGGGTGGCCAGTTGAGTTCAAATTTTCAGTACTTTAATGGAAGGGAATGTAAGAAGGCTATTACTTTCATGTTTTCAACTTTCCTTTTACCCCCAAAGGACTCGATACTCCGCCCAAATTTTTTCTGTGTGATTTAAATTGATGGAAACACTTCTGTATGACATCTGGCCTTGTGTGATTATGTGTGAGAATTTTTTATACAATGCTTCTGCATGTCTTTCTCTCTGAACACTCAGTGACTGAACTTCTTGATCTTTTTAATTAGATATTAGATCCATGGATGTCACTGCTAGATAACCAGCTTTGGTTCCTCGCGGCTTCCCTTCCCCACTTGAAATGTGTGATTATCTTTCGTATTTTGTGTAAAACTTACCTTTTTCACTGGTTGGAAAATATAAACTTGTCTTGACTTGAACAAAGTTCTGTGTGAGCAGTCACTATATGTAACAATATGTAAAAAGCTGCCATCATTTGAGGATTGCCCTCTTCTTTCTCCTCTTATGGGAAGTGGGAACACTTTTATATGACATTCAGTCACGGTTTATTCTTGTTTTCATAGAATGATGCCACAGTCTACAAAGGCGAACTTATCATAGAAAACATGTCGGAAGAGTACGAACCTGATGAAGTTGATGTGGAAATCAAGATTAATAAAGAGAATAAAGAGAACACGGTGAGTGGGAAGTGGGATTATTCAGTAAGCACGAGGAGTGGGAGTGAATACGAGAGTATTTAATAAAGAGAGAAGATCATGGGGGAGTGGGAGTGGCATTTACAGTAGAGATGACACTGAGTGGGAGTGGCTTTTAAATTCAGTAGTTCGCAACCTTTTTTCTTTCATGGCCCATTTTTGTTGCCCAAAAATTCTTGTGGGCCTTGTTCTCCTAAAACTTCTAACATTAAGAAAAAACTACGGGAAAAATCAAGATATTCCTGTAAAAATGGACACTTAAACGTTTATAATTAGAATGGAAATTACCACTCAGTAGCAGAAAACAGCATCATCATTGATTGCTGCTACAATTAAAATTAACTATTGTGACATAAATAAAACTAGCAATATTTAATAGTACTGTGGCCCACCTTAGAATCTTTCTTTGGCCCTTTGTTCAGAGATGAGTCTTAACTGCTTGTCTGTGTTTAAGTCTGAATCAGGGCTCTTCAAATGGGGGTGCCTAATTGGTCATTATAGATCTCAACATGAGTCACAGTAAGTTTCAGGAACATTATTAAAATACCTTATTTACAAGAAAACATTTTAAACAGATCCTGACTTGATGAAGCTAAATGTTACACGCTTGAGTGTGCTGTGAAATTTTATTTATTGAAACAAAGGAGTACGCCTATCCCAGCCAGAACAAAACCAAATGTGGACTAGCCATTATGCGTGACGGAACTATTATTATAGTTCATCGGTACTGAGGGAAGTTAAATCCAAGTGAACGGGTTTGATAAAAAGGGCAAATGGGCAATATGTGTTCTGTTATTGAAAGATGGGACGTAGGCGAGTAGTATTTATTGGCTGCCGTTTTGGACGGATAACGGGTTTTCTGTATTATTATATCTTACTTTATTTTAGTTTTTTGGTGGGGCAAAAATTATTGACCGTACCAAGTAGGTTGCAACGAAAAAGTTCGAAGACCACTGGTCTAAATTACCCCAATTAGTGAAATATGACTAATTTCTCATTCTTTCAATTTCAGACAATCACAGCACTGATGAAAACATTCGGAGTCGTACTGGTTCGTGAAAAACTTCAAGCCTATCTTGATCAACTACGGACGAACTACGGCACACAACTAATTCTCCCCCCCAAAGATGCAAAAGTTGATTCGAGAACTGCGGTTTCAACGATGAAAAATAGTACGAATTTAATCAAAAAGGAAATGAATAATCTTGCAATGAACGACAAGAAAACGGATAAAACAAATGTGAGAAATTTTAGCTTGATTTCAATAGTTGCTCTTAATTTCCTCAAAGAAGTCTTTTTTACTTCTGAGTGAGTGCCTATAACTTTGCTCAGATGAGTCTCTTTTACTTCTGAGTGAGTGCCCATAACTTCACTTAGAGATTAGTCTCTTTTACTTCTGAGTGAGTACTCCTAATTTTGTTCAGAGATGAGTCTATTTTACTTCTGAGTGAGGGCCCCTAACTTTACTTAGAGATTAGTCTCTTTTACTTCTGAGTGAGTACTCCTAATTTTGTTCAGAGTTGAGTCTATTTTACTTCTGAGTTAGCCTCTGCTTTATTAAAAAACACTATTTTTCTCCGTAGGCCGGCATCAAAATCACAACAAAGAAACTTACGATGTCCGAGACTTTCATGACAACGGTGGACGAACTCTATCTGACCCTGACACTGAAAGATCGCATCTCGGCTTGGTCTAGAAGTGAAGTGAAGTCTGACGTGGACGTTGGGACAGTTCTCACTTTGTTTGATAAGAATGTGGAAGGTGGGATTCTGTGAATAAATAAAGCACGACCAGTGTTAACAAATAATGTAATTCGCGTAGTTTTGAATTTCTATTCAGAAGAACTTCGTCAGGGCGTGATAAAGACAAAGTAAGAGAAAAATCATCGAGACATAATAATAGATCTAAGTGAATTAGCGCAAGTTTAAATAAACATGGGGATATCTAAACTGCGTTTTATACACAGGCGAGAACAGGGATGTTTCTTTATCAATCATCGAATTCGAAAATCACAATTTGACAAATTATATCGTTTTGCTATGGTTATGCTTTTATCTATTTTTCACTTGAATGTATCCGGTGGCGATCATGCGCTATGCTGGTTTGGTTTTCTCTGAATGAGGCTTGAACGAGCATTATCCTAGTAAATTTTTCATTCTTCAAAAAACAAGCAAACAAGCTTTTCGATCAATCTCTTTGTATAAGGCTTTGGACAAGTAGGAATGGGCAAGATAGCCTAGTGGTTTTCAAACTCTGTGCTTTGTTTAATGAAAATGTGGAAGGTTGAGTCATATTTCTCTCTGAAGTAGGTTTGGAACAGGCTAGGACAAGTTGCCGGTCAAATGATAAGAATCATTGTCGGCTTTTCTCTTGTCAGACTAAATGATCCAATATTCCATTTTATTTTTTAGCTGAATTTACTGAATTAGTCCGTGACAAGAAACTCGTTATGAAATGGCGGATGAAGTCATGGATGGCTGGTCACTACTCAACTGTGACATTGGATTTAGAGCAAACAGTAGATGGCGCTAAAGTATCTCTACAACAATCTGGAATCCCAGAGAATTCTGTCGAAGCTACTACCAATGGATGGCGCCGTTACTACTGGGACGCAATTAAAATGACCTTTGGCTATGGGTCGCGGATAATGTGATGTTAGCTTGTCTTGTGTTGTTGTTATCAAAACTTGAATTTTGTCGTTAGGGACTCTAGTACGGAACATCAATCAAGATGATTAAAATAATTCTTGGTTTTAATGTTAATTTGGCATTTTGTGGCAAAATTCAGATGCCACACACAAACACAATTATATTTTGAGGTCAGACTTTTGAACTGTGTTTTATGCTCATTTGAAGAAGTCCAACCCATACGCTACCGACATATATTGTGTTAGTGTGCATCGTAAGACTTTTAAATCACTTAAAATAGTCATCTCTATTCTTGCTACAGCTTCCTTGCATTATACGCATACATATCCTTATTTTTGGGTCAATATGAAAATACCATGCTCACACTAGGACCCAATAGCACATTTTATCATAGCGAAGAGCAACACTTAACGGTGAAACTCTTTAACTCTTGAATCACTTAGAATGGCCACGGTCTGTATTGCTACAGCTTCCTTGCTCTATATCCATACGGATCCACTAGTGGAAATATGCTTACAAATTATGTGATTATCAGTTGAAGGTTACGCAAGACCAACTACTACCTTTCCTTGCTCTATGCCAGTGGTTCTTAAACTTTTTGAGTCGCGCCCCCCTTTGAAAAATTTTATAAACTTCGCGCCCCCCCCCTTTTTTCTTTGAAAATCTGCTTTTGTGATGGGCTGGTTGATCTGTGTGTTTAAAACACACAATAATAACAGACTTCTTGGCTTGCCTAACGTCTCCAAAATTCACTTCCAATACCCTTGGACAACCACCAGGTTCAAAAATACAGTTTACAGAAAGGAGAAGTGTAAATGAATATATGTACAAAAAGAAAAGAAGTTCTAAAAGTTATTATGCATGTGGACGATTCCCCGACCTTGACCGCTGAAAAATAAAGTAGCATGACGTTTGCGATTGCATTTTGTTTAAATATCCGATAGTTTTCGTCAGCCGCGGCAGATTAAAAACACTTTCTTAGACGTTGCAAACCTCATGAATTCTTTGTGCCTGCGGCACACCTGTAATGTTCTAAAACTACCGACTTGAAATGAATTTTTCTCCGTGGGATTTATCACAAACTTGGGAATTTCTCTAACAATGATATTTGAAAATTAATCATGTAGCAGCATTGCAATGGCGCGGAGTAAGAGTTGCAGCGAATATGAATCAAAACCAAATGTAATCTGGCAGTTTACAACACATTTTTATGTCTGCGGATTGCCGTGGTATTTTGGGGTAGGGGTGCTTTTGTTTTATTAAAGCAATCGCAAGGTAATTATTTACAATTAAATAAATAAAACAACCATTTTAAATATGTATATCGGTCATGGATCTAATATTTTATTCAACCATCACAAAAACCATTACATATCCATTGAAAAAGTCGGCCCTTCTAACGAGTGGCGTAATCTCAACGACTGACCCACGCAGGAGCCGTATCGCGGAATTTCGGGGTTACCTTGGACACAAAATAATTAAAATAGAGAGACATTTTGAATTCTTGTTGTTAACATAGATTGAATATTACGAGACAGAAAAATTTATTATAATGTGAAAAAGCCGGCATTTTTAACACAACGCGGAGATCGTTTTTAGGAGCCGTTGCATGGAAATTTCTGATTCCATTTTGTGACCTCTCGCGCCCCCCCTGAAATCATCTTGCGCCCCCCAAGGGGGGCGCGCCCCCCAGTTTAAGAACCACTGCTCTATGCCTTGGCCCAATGGAATCCGTATGCGAGCCACGTAAGGATGCTGTAGCAAGAGGAAAAATAACTAGCCTAAGTGATTCAATTGTCTGTTCAAAAATAGAAGAAATATGTGCTGTTAGCTTATGTTTTGGATGTTTTCAAGGCCGTTGCAAAATTTTTGATGGGTATTTTGAGAAAAATTTTGCTAGTTGGCGCAAACTGGTTTGCATGTTTCACCATAATTTTGAATTTATTTATTCCACCGCCTGTCATTCGGAATTACGATAGCTCATTTTCGTCAAGTCTATCACATCATTTCCTGGACAATATTTTGATTACTGCACCTATACAAAAACTCGTCCTAAGACTAAATAACCTTTAAAATATTTATATCAAAAATGTCGTAAACAACTAAAAATTCATAAATTGCTAAAATGACAGCCGAAGCGAAGCAATTTCACAACCAAGCTCAAAAATTTGAGTCCACTCATATGTCATGTCACTGTTATTGTTAACAACTTGCAGATTGGCCAATGTTAAAGGAAGTAAATAAGGAAGTTGATGCTCAAGTGGTGTTGTTGAATTTTGTGCTGTATGTCGCTGAGACTAAAATTGGGATATTCCTCAAAAGACCTCAAAAATTCATAAACACAACAAAAAAATTATAAATTGCTGAAATGACAGCCAAAGTGGAGGACATCTGGACATGTTTCAAAACCTTAGTTTATAAATATTTCTGTTGTTGATAATTGATTTTCTCTCAGTACTTGATAATATAATAATTGTAATAATATGGAACATAAAAAGATTGCAAGAACAATCCAGGGATTTCTTAAATTTCAATTCAAATCCGACAGTCTATTTGATATATGGATATTGTTTAAATTAAATATTATTTGAATACGCTGGTATAATATAATCATATAATAAGTGTCTCACGAGTGTTTTCTGACAAGTTTGTGATAACAAATATACATATACACATAATCAATTGCATAATAAGGATTCCTCGAACCTTTGAAATGTTTCATCAGGCCACTGCTCTACCAAAAAGGTTGTACTAACAGGAGATGTCCTTGACTACAGTGGGGTTTTTTGACCCACTTTTTTAAATTCTCTTATGCTCAAGATACGGGGCATTTTGGCCCTTAGCTGCTTTTCCCTGTTGGCTGTTTAAAAGTTCATTGAATGAAATTTGTGTGATTTGTATTTAATATATTATGATAATTTTTGAAAATCTGCTATTTTTTGTAATGTCTCTACTCGACAAGTAAGCATTGGGAAGCAACATGTTTACTCTGTTACTGGTGGTTATTACTTATCGATCTTAAGATCGGTAAGTATGTTGAAAGGTATCTGTCTGTTTGTCTGTTAGATGCACGCGATATCTCACGAAAGCGAGGTTAATTCTGCTCGAAATTTTACATATACATTCATCATAGCTCGGACCAGAAGCCTATTGATTTTGGATGAATTATGACATATAATTAGCGAGTTGTTAATTAATTAGTGATGCGACACGCGGCGTCACTATAGAGTCAGGGGATTTTCGATCGATAAGTCTTCGGTCTCCGACCGATATTCTCGCTAGATTCTTAATAAATAAAGTCTAGTGAATTCAGGCGTTTCGAGCATTGTGCAAAGCATTACCGCACGCTTGCAAAACCACCTCAGATTATCTTGCTTGGCTTCGATGTTCAAATACCAAGAAGGATATTTGTTGCTGGAGTACTTGTCGCTGTAGACCAGGGGTTCTCAACCTTCTTTTCTGTCAAGTACCCCCTAAAAATTTGTAGCAAGTACCCATGGAAATCTTCTCGTGAACCCCAGGTTGAGAACCGCAGCTGTCGAGTATAGGTTGTTTACTTAACTGCTGATCCGTTACGGCTTTTGCCATCCGAGTCCTATAAATATAAAAGAGGACGTGGTTCGCCATATGAACAAGCCGTCTTATCAACTTTTCCATCTCCCTGGATAAATGGGAAAATCGAAAGCGTCAACAAATTGATCTTACTAGATCTTGAACAGGAGTTTTATGGTAATTGGGCCGGGGAATTTCATTGAATGGAATTAAACTTTTGAAGTCTCCAAACATTGCTGTGTTGACGTCTAGGAAATGGGTCGCCTTTGCCTAAAATAGTTTGCAAGTTTCAATGGCTTTCAAATTGACTTTAAAAACTGTTTGAAGTCGGTTGAATTCTTCCTGTTGACGAGGTCATTGCGGAAATGTTTGAGATTTTGATTAAAAATAATGTAAGTGTCACTAGAATATATGTGTGCCTAAATCACCCCTCGTTGTAGATTTAGAAATCCTATCATTAAGCTGTCTTATCGATTTTTCTCTCCTTCGGGATAAACATGAAAGTACCATGCTGGTACGACAATGGCCAGCCACATCAGTAGTGCTGAGAATTTTAACATAATGCTTTGACCATTAACCGGATGAAATTTAACGGTTAACCGCCACTAGGTGGTTGAAAAAAAGTATTTGATATCGCAATACGATTCATCCGATTGCATTTTGAATCACTTAGATATTCAAGATTATTTTACGTGTCCTTTAACATCAAAAATTTTGTGTCTCGTTCGAAACTTGTTCACGAGCAATTGCAGTAAATGAATCGCTTTTAAATGTTTCACCTACAGCAAAAATTTTCGCTTTTTTTGTCAAAAAATTGCAAACTAGCAATCGATCGAATACTTTATTTGTTTTGACATTCAGCAAGTTTGCGTTTTTTTGCGCGGTCATTTTGGGGATATTTACGCCCTTACGGTGCAGTCGGACAGCTATTTGGTGAAGGTACAGAATTTGGGGATTTCGCGTGTATCTAGCTGTTTAGGGAATGTTCTGATTTGGGATGTAAGTTTCGAATATTTTTGTTTTGAAATTCAACGAGTTTGCGTTTTTTCTGCGCGTTCATTTTGGGGATATTTACGGCCTTACGATGAAGCTGGGCAGCTATTTAGTTAAGGTTCGGAATTCGGGGAATTACGCGTGTACCTGTTCTGAAATGACGTTATTATGGGTGTAAGTTTCGAATACTTTTGTTTTGAAAATCAATGAAATATAGCTACAGCGGTTTGACTTCTTGAGCAGCTATGCAAGACTCGCACAGTCACTCAAGAGAAGTAATGACTTCGCATAGATTTCGGACTCATTAAAACATATCAAAAGCAGCTCGGCGAAGCTCATTGCCACGTTGAATTTATCTTGAATTACGTTTTGCGAAATGTTATTTAATTACTACCGGGGAAACAAAACACAGTGCAACGTTTAAATCAAAATTGAAAGCCAGAGCAGTTGATCATTTGCTATTTTCAAGTAGGATTTATAGAAAGGATTTTTGTATTCTGGGGAGAGGAAAGCCGATGGGACGGTTTGATCATATGACGAACAATCTCGTCCGGTTACAAGTTCACGTTGAGTATGAAAATAATTATTCGTTTCAGATGTTGGACTTAATGGAAGCTGTAACTTGTTTTGGGCAGATCTCGTAGATCAGTGGCTCTCAAACATTTTAAGCCCCACCCCTTTTTAGAATTTGCCAAGCCTCGCTCCCCACCTAAAAAATAACCTGCTAATAATAAACTACAAATAACAGATAGTAAGGCGAAAGTAAGTTTTATTCAAAAAAAAAACGTTGAAAATACGTGGATGGAACGTCCAGAATAAGGCGGGCAAGATCAATTCTAACAAATATTTTCAATTTTAATGAGCTTCACGCCTCTCAAAAAATTGTCTTCGCGATTGTGTGTGGCCCGCCCCACCGTTTGATAACCACTGTCGTAGATAAAATAAACGTTGTTTTATACACACTGTAACCTTTATTCTGTATTCATTAGACGTTCAAAACGTTGCAAAACTGTATCGCTTGGTTTTTACTAGTTATGCATATGTTACTATAATACGACTTATTTTACGTGATTTTTAACAGTGTTCTGGAAATATCTGAACATGCATTCCGTCCTTGTTAGGTCACAAACGACGCCATTGACTCCAAGAATCGTGTTTGCAAACTCGAAAGTTGTTTTTAGAATGTTTTGGGATTTCTAGACATGATTTTCAGAGTGACCCAGGCAAACAGAATCCAGGTCATTTAGTTTAGAATATATTAAAGAACAGTGATTTTAACCTATTTGGTAGAGCGCTGGCCTAGGAAACTATGCGCAATAGTTTAATTGTCTTTTATATTCTGATTTGTATAAACTAGGCATACACAGGATGTCTCAAAAGCAAGTATACACTTTTAATTTTGATTTGCTCTTCAGAGAGCGTTCATTTCTTCAGGAAACATAGTATGGATAGGTAGTAAAATTTAGGTATTGTTTGCATTTATCATCAACCTACAGAATGACAAGGAGATTAATCCTTAAAATGAGGTGTAAAATTGCTGTTTGGCAAAATGCACATAAATCAGTAAGACATACTCAGGGCCTGGTTTCCTTTAGTATTTTACAGAAAGTTTAAAAAAGACATTTACTAATTTAAAATTTACTAATAAGCGCGCATGCATGGTTAACCGTTGCCTTTCCATCCGGTACAGCGAACGAACAGAATTATATTTGGATATCGAAAAGCAAAAACTTTCGGTTTACCGTTATTCGGATAATACAACCAACAGAATTATACCCGGCTATCGGACAAAAAAAACTCCCTGTTAACCGTTTTTTGGATAATAAATCCGATAGCATTATAACCGGTTATCGAATAACAAAAAATATTTTGGTTTACCGTTATCCGAATAATCCAAACCTATCTTTAACCTGTCTTTATTATTTTATGTTAGTATTTTATCCAGGAATAATTATTTTCATACTTATAGTTTATAAGATGGAGATCTGGGCCATTCTTGGTTTGTTTATTATACTTGGAGTCGTCAACTGCCAAGATACGAGTGAGTATAGAAATTGTTGAAAACAATCAGTAAAATTGATAGTATTTAAGCGTAATTTGAATTCACTGCCTCGTCGGTGTTTTCCTAACCGTATGGACTTGAACTACTTCCAGCGTCTGGCGGACTGGTTCTCAACCAGTGGGCCATGCATGGTCCACTGCTGGGCTACGGAAAGGCCACAGAACTATTGAAAAAATTGCTAGTTTTATTTGTATTACTTTCCTTATTTTGATTGTAGTACCAATTATTGAAGATTTTGTTTTCTGCTATTGAGTGGTAATTTTCATTCTAATTACTTGAGGGAAGTATTCATTTTCGCAAAAATATTTTGATTTTTCTTGTAGATTTTCACTTGCAATGAAAAGTTAACAGGCCACAAGAATATTTGGGCGACGAAAATAGGCCACGATAAAAAAAGTTGAGAAACACTGGGCTAGCGTCAATCTGGCATTTTCTGGCGAACACTGCACTATGATAATTCAAAAAGTTTTGGTAGGTCTTGGCTTTTCAGTGGTCGCATCTAATTTGCTCAGAGATGAGTCCCCTCTACTTCTGAGTGAGTGCCCGTAACTTTGCTCTGAGATGAGTGTTCTTGCCACTGAGTAAGTGCGCGCGCTTTGCAAAAATTCCCATAAAAAAACAGTCATAATAGCGTTCCAAATTACGATATCAATTATCATCGATATAACATAGAGTCCGAATCCGTTAATCCAGCAACCGAACCGAATTTAATAAAATCTTTTTCTGTGTTTTAGTCCACCGGGAACCATCAGGTGAATTCACCGTTACTTCGCAATCCTACAATAGATCGAGAATTATGGTCGAGAAGGGAAGACAAATCATGTTACAAGTGGAAAAGTTGCGCCTTGAAAGAGGATCTTACTTGAAGGTTGTATTTTAATATGACGCTCATTCATGCTTAATTCCTGCTGCAACATCCTTGCATTATACGCTTACAGATCCAATTACGCAAGGAAAGGTTGTCAGTCCCGCTTCACCCCAATTAATAGTGACGTAGTAATATTTATTTTTCAGCTGCAAGACGGTCAATATGGAGATGCGTATGAATACAAAATGTACGGATCTCAAGCTTACAGATCATCGAGGTAATGTAGAAGATTTTTTATTTTCATATATTATTTACACCTTTTCACTCCAAACAAGGCATTGTGCAATTTCCACTGTTAAGTAGTAAGCGACTATTGATTAATTCAGCGATTTTTAATCGGGGCCCGAAGGTGGTGGTTGGAGGGGGGGGGGGGGGGCAATGCTAGGCGCAAAACTGATTTGTACCTGAAAATATGGCCTAACCTTAACCTGGTACACATACTACGTTCTGGTGTCCGCCATCTTGGTTCACATACTTCTGGAGCGCCTTTTTGAATACCCGATGATTTCAGAACCGAATCGTATATTATTTTCGAATCGAATCCCGAATACTTGGAAAATATTTGAATTCAAAAGTAAAACGACGTAATTGCATGGTTTTTTTATTGTAATGCATCCTTCATACACGTAATTTACTAAAATCATAGAATCTATCACCAAGACAGTTCGCTGAGTGTTCACACACAATAAGAAACATGTTTCATCAATAACTCAACAGAAAGAAAACAGTCGCATTCCAGAATCGCATTTTAAAAATTTGGTATCACTAAAAAATGAGGAATTTGCCTCGAAACAAGATGGCGGCCATTCCAAGTTTTTGTCTGAACCCATTCGAAGAATTGACTATTCGATTCCCCTTCCTACACGTTATCAGCCGAGTATGGCGGTTGTAACAACATGCCATAAACTGGCTAGCTATTGTACACATCGTCGTTCTGCAGTATACCTCTTTGTTACTCTTGTGTACTGTACCAGAGTTTCATTTGTATATTTCATGCTGTTGTCCTACCATAACGCAGCAGCCATAAACTGCAGTTACACTTGATAGAGGCGCATGTCGCACATCCGTGTCTTAGTCCAGTGAGCTCTTGAACGTGTATCCCATCTCTATTATACTGTTCAATTATTATGCAGATACTGTTACGTTTTTGAGGCAAATCAACATACATATATCACCGAATTGTATTTTTTCTTTCAGATACGGCGGATTACAACGAACAGACTTGCCAATGAGAATGGAAACGGTGACGAGAAAGTTATTCATCACCCTGAGCGGCCGAGGAGAAGTCAGTGTCAAGTATACAAGTAAGTTGATACAAATTGTGATTCCGGATCCGGATTTGAAATAAAAATGACTCCGACATCTTCAAAAACAGAAAATTCAAAATCGATTGGTCATGTCCAGTAGACAACTTTTTGATTGGCTTTATTGTGAATCACGTGTGTGTGACGTATCATGTTTCGACCAATCACACCATATAGACATATAAAAGCTGTTGAGTTCTTGATTCTATCTTTCTCTTAGTCAGTGTGCCTTACTGTTAAACTGTTACTGTGGGAATGTGTTGAACTGATTGTATCTTAATTTGAATAAATAAATAATACGAACGTATTATTACACGATTGGTCTATTAGTTGAAGAAAAAGGTGCTCCTGAAGTATGCGAGCCAAGATGGCGGACACCGGAACGTAGTATATGTAACAGGTTAGGGTTAGGACATAATTTTATTCCAGTTTTCATTATTTTAGTTCTATTACGAGTTCGGGGACTAGCAAAGTGACTCCCGTAGTATTTGTACCTAAAATTATAGCCTAACCCTAACCTGTTACACATACTTCGTTCCGGTGTCCGCCATCTTGATTCACATACATAGAGTACCGAAGAATAAGCGTTCTTCTAACAATAATAAATCGCCAAGATCATCTGTAGTATGGGGGGGAGTTGATAAGACGATTTAATCATATTGGCGGACCACAGTCTCTCGTCCGATTACCAGTTGATGTCGGATATTTGATTAGTTAGCCAGTTATTTGTTTCAGATGCATGTGATTGTATTTGATAGGTTACGTCGATGACGGGGTGACAACTTGCCTGAAAGACGACGCTGAAGAATTATACGAAGACGCGTTGAGCATTGATTGTGGATCTGACGAATTAAGTCCTGTTGCGTCACAATGCGAAGTTACGCTTCAGTGCTCCGGTCTCTACCAGCAATACAGGTCAGATTATTGCCCTACTTTGATTCTCGTTATTCAATCAATCATTTATTTTGGTTCTCTTACATAAACAATACAAAAAGTAAACAGACAAAACAAAATGCAGAGATAACTGGGAGACGGGCATAACTTAAAAGTTAAAAAACATACAATGTACGTGCCCGCCCACCAAAATAGAATAAAATAAACTCAGAAAAACGCGATTTACAACCTTGAGGTACATTGAAAAGCAATTTAACAAAACAGCAAAATGAAGTTAATAGAATGCAATAAACTTCTTACCTTCTATATTGAAATGTGAGACGTGTATGTGTAACACAACAGTGCTTTTCCTACAAAAACATGAAACAAAAAATACTCCCTGACGTAAAATGGTGATGCTGTAGGCTTAGTTCAATTTCATTGTAAAAACAAAACAGTGACAAAAAATTGTTACTAAAAAAACAAGCCTGGTAAATGGATTGGATGTTCTATGCACAAGTCATAGATTGGGGAATCGGGTTCTTTTGTCGTTTTCGATTAGTTCAACCTAAAATCACCGTATCCGTTCCAATGCCTCCAACATCAATATCGAATTTCCACGAACAACCACCATTCCAACAGGTGAAGTGGTCCAATCTTATCTGCGCTTCGTTCCATCGTCCACAACCAGTTTCATTCTCTCTCTCTCAAACTATTTTTCTCTCTTCTTTCTCCGTCTTTCGCTTGCTCCTCTCTCGTACTTTCTCTCACTCTCTCTTTTTCTTTCTCTCTCTTTTTCTTTCTCTCCCTCGTTTTGATGTCTCCTATTCTAATTTGACCTTCGACTTCCCTCCCCGAGTTGTTCGAAAACTGAATGCTGAAATCGGGAATGGATGAGTTAATTCCGACTTTCCTTGCGGGGAGCCTCGGGATCTTTTGTACCCAGCCAGCCCACACCAACGTTTATAATACGAAAATGATGTGTGGCGCATCGTGCCAAGCGCTAGGAATACGCTCGCCACCACATCTCTGATTACTCTTCGTTGGTTCGATTCCCATGCGGGGATGATTATGTGCGAGAGGATTGCTGCACTCCTCGCCGCCGTAGGGTGGTTCACGTGACCGCTGTTCGGTTACGGCTTCCTCCACCATCAAGTCCATGCCTCCGAAAACAAATAACTAACTAATCCCATACCCAACCTGGACTGGTAACCGGACGAGAGGCCGTGGTTCGCCATATGATTAAGCCGTCATATCGGCTTTCCTCTTCCTCGGGATAAATATGTAAATCCTATCCTATCCTATTTTAGATAAACACCATAGCTACGTTTTGAAATAACAAATTGGTGAATATCCAGTTTGAGGTTAGGAATGCAGATTGCGCTGGAAATTCAATTTTTTAAATCATTTCTAACACCCAACGGATATTTACCAATTTGTTATTACTTATTGATTTTAATCGGTAAGTATGTTGATAGGTATTTGTCTGTCTGTCTGTTAGATGCACGCAATATCTCACAAAAGCGAGATTGAATCTGCTCCAGATTTTGCATGTGTATTCATCTTATCTCGGACCAGAAACCTATTGATTTTGGGCGATTTATGTCGTATAATTAGCGAGTTATTAATTAATTAGTGATGGGACACAAGGTGTCACTATGGAGTAAGAGCGCTGTTTTGGAATCCCCTAACTTTCGATCGATAAGCCTTCGGTCTCTGACCGATATTCTCGTTTTGATACTTTGCTAGGGTGTTTATCTAAAATCTCATCTTTTTCGTATTAGAGACGGTGGCTTTTTACAAAAGATCCGAACCTTGTTCGAAGCGAAACGGTTGATAACCAATATGATTTATATTTCAGTCGAACCTTAACTTGTCAGGACGGGCACTGGGAAGGCAATGTACAATGTCAACCAATGGAATCTGTCATAGAAGACCAATGCTCCTTTGATTCCGACGAATTTGAGGTAAGGGGAGAGGGAGGGAGCATCATGGTCTTCACAGGGAACTCCCATAGTATGTGTACCAGATTAAGGTTAGGGCATAATTATATTTCGATTTTCCTTATTTTAATTCTATTACGAGTTCGGGGACTGTCTGTGTTTGCCAAGCAAATATCCACTCTGCCCATAGGTTTCAGTCTCCTTAGACAACTTGATGTAATATAGGCGAATAAAATTAGTTACCTCCATAATTATGGGTACACATACTTCTGGAGCGCCGCTACAAGGGCACTTGGCACTTAAGACTTTGTTTCCGTATATACAAAAATATAATATTAGAAATGTAACTAGTGTTGTCTGGAATTGGATAAGCAGTTTCAGCATTCATTACTGATGGTAGGCCAAGTTATGATTCATTTACATGATAATTTTTGGAATAACTCTCATGCCTACAAACATATATATGAGTTTAAGATGATACTTAAGAACGAAAAATAAGCAAAAAAATATTTTAACAAGCTAATATTGAGGCTTGAGTCGTCTGACCAACTTGAATCCTTTCAGTAAAACTGAGGCACAAGCGAAAATTATTCGAATATTGCAAATTTCTGTGGTACCTGCCTCCTTTCCTTTTGTTCTCTAAGCACGTGCTTTTTTGTTTAATGATTAATCCAGCTCTGATTATGGCTGGGCATTCCCGTATATCTGATGATTTTAGAAACGAATAGAATATTTTTTTTGAATCGAATCTTGAATACTTGAAAGATATTCAATCGTGTGTGACTTTTTATTGTGATGGTTCGCTGAGTTGTCACACACAATGAGAAACAAGTGATAAATTACTGAAAAATAGAATCCGTCACTCTGACAGTTTACTGAGCGTTCACATAAAATAAGAAACATGTTCCATCAATGATTCACTAGAAAGAAGAGTCACATGTCAGAATTGTATTATAAAAATATGGATTCAATAAAAAAAATAGGGCTTCCTAAGTATGCGAACCAAGATGGCGGACATCGGAATGTAATATGTGTACTAGGTTAGGGTTAGGCCATAATTTTAGGTATAAATACTACGGGAGGCTCTTGGCTAGTCTTCGAACTGATAATAGGACTAAAATAAGGGAAATTGGAAAAAAATTATCGCCTAACCCTAACCTGTTACCCATGTTACGTTCCGATGTCCGCCATCTTGGTTCGCATACTTCGGGAGCACAAAAAAAATTGAGAAATTCACCTCGACATTTGGCGTCCATATGTGGTAAACAAGATGGCGGCGATTCGAAATTTTCGCCTGAACCGATTCTAATAATTTACTATTCGATTTGAATATTCGATTTGAAATGCCTAGCCGTAGATGTGACTCGACAATTCTAATTAGGACCTTGCTTTGTTAAAACTTAAACAATGAATGAGACAAGAGGGCTATGCTCAAATATACGGACACGTAGTGTCACAAATTTTTGATGACGTCATAGCAAAAAATAAAAGCCTTCTGGAAAAAAATTCCATCTTTAACCACTGAAAATTTTAAAGCAATTGGTCCAGTAATCAAAGAGAAAAGCGATTTATGCAAAACGTGTCAAAGAACAAGAACAAGAACAACATAACGATCGTTATGTCCACTACATGTACAATAATATAATTTTTCTTGCATATATCGTTAAAATATTCTTTTTTAATTCACAGGCCGAGGATTCCTGCCCGTACTCTGATGAAGAAATCATAGACTATTACGTGGATGTGGACGGAGTCGATCCTTATGAACCGGGTTTGGGGAGAGGAAACTCCAGAGGAATCAACTGCAGCCCGTTATGCGCTACCAATAGAGTTGGAAAGCCAATAATATCCTGTTCGACGAGGCACTATAGCTTCAGGGCACTCAATCGCAGAGGTAACTTATTTTATCATAAGGCTACTGTAGCAGATTACATATCGATACCATTTCAAGTCCATATATTTGTGCATCGATCTCTTATACTGATATAATCGCTAGATTAAGCTTAAGACGTTTCATGCTCATTAGCAGGCATGGCGTAACCGTCGCCAGCAGTGATTTCCCTCCCTTCTAAATTTTACCCCCCCCCCCTCCTCTAAATTTCATGTGTGACACCAGACTTTAATTCTTAACGTAAATAAAATTGTATTCGAATATTCTGAAAGTGGCTCATAAGCCGGTGAAGATGACCAGTCTGAATTTGAAAACACTCCCCCTCCCCCTAAAATAAAAAGCTGGGGAACATACTGGTCGCCAGACTGGGGGGAAGGGGGGCAGGGGTTAAAACAGCATCTTTTTGAAGTGGTCCAAAGTTCTAATTGCCAAGTTGAACCGTAACAGCTAGCGGATCCAGCCGGGGGCCAGGAAACGTGGGGTTTCAATAGTTTTGTGCGATTAATAATAAATATCCATCACATTTACTCTCAGCGCGAAAAAGGAGATACATCAGGTGCCGTATTTGTCGAATGAAGCGAGGCTGTGGAGGTCCTGGCAAAGTGGGGTTCTAAGGGAGACAAGACTACAAGGATCTCATGAATTCGAAAATTGACTCCGGATATGAACTCCTAGCACTACATTTGAAATTTGTTAATTACAGTCCAAACACGTTTTGTGAATATATTTCGGATATCGACTTTGACAGTTTTAATTTACTTCCGGATGTGAACTCCTGACACTGCCATTTAATTTTGTTAAATACAAAAAGCCAAAATAGGTTTGTGAATATGTTCCAGATAATGACTCCAATGATTGCTTTTGTTTCAGATATGACTCATGTCACTACATTAATCTTTTTTTGTGCTTGTTATGAATTTTGTAAATAAATGAAATTCAGTGCTAGCAGTGCTCTTTATATATTTGAGCGATTCTGAAGTTTATGTTTGTAACTTCCGCTTCCTTATGGAAAACCAACCGGTTCATGCATCTGAAACAAATAACTGGCTAACTAATCCCATACCAGACATGGTCTGATAATCGGACGAAAACCGTGGTTCGCAGATTCGAATCCCGTGGAGAATAATTATGAGCGAAATGATTGCTGGTAGTCTGGTACCCTCGGAGTGATTCACGTAACTTCAGGTCGATGACGGATTCTTCCACCATCAAGTCCATCTGAAACAAATAACTGGCTAACTATATAGTCCAGTACCTGACATGGACAGGATCCCGGGCGAGAGGCCATAGTTTATGACATATGATTAGGCCAGGGTCGGCAACCTGTTATCACTTGCGGTTAAAAATCAAGGGTTGCGGGCCGCACATATTTTTAGAAAGTTAAAAACCGAACGGATGGCCGATGAATCTAGGTTATTTCACACAGTTCAGAAGTCGACATTTTACTTTTAAGCAGCGTGGGAAGACTGCGACAACTCGTGAACTCACCTTGGTCGTCTTACTTGAAGAAAAACATTTACAAATGACATTTAATGTGAAGCTTTGAGTTGCATCACGCTTGATACGTTTTCGACATTACTAAATGGGGAACAATTTCTAAATCGAACACTGGATGAAGCCGAGATTAAAACATTTTATAAATGGGAATCACTATCTTCATTGCATTGCATCTCAAAAAATTTCATTTGAATACTTTCTGCGCCATTAGACCCATTACCCTCAACAGCGTCCACTTCTCTTCTTTTTGTTGCCATTGTCTAATTATAATCAGATTATAAGCTCATTAAACGAGTAACTGTTTACTAAATTGTTTAGATTATAATATAATTTAGTCCACACGTGTCTCACAATTTATATTGTTACGTAAAGAGTATAATCGTCAAAACAGCTGTTTTGTTACTATAGTTCTATAATTCTATAGTTCTAATTCTATAATTGTTACTATAAGTGAAGCGTCGCGGGCGGATTATTTTACTTCGCGGGCCGGATCTGGTCCGCGAGCCGAAGGTTGCCGACCTCTGAAATAGGCTGTCTTATCGGTTTTCCTTTTTTGGGAATAAATATGGAAATCCTATTTAATCTTAACCTAACCAGTTAGTTCTGGTTTTGGACAGAGCGGATGTCCGATTGGTTGTTATCAATATAATCCTTCGATGATAATCCCACTGAAAATTAGAAACCCACTGGTCATGGAGCAGCGCAAAATAAATGAATAAGAGAATAAATGAATGGACATAGGCCGCGAGCCGAGGCCATTTATCTTTCAGTTTCGTAGCGCACATCAGGTAACTAACTGAAAATGATTTTAAAATGTTCTTTAGAAATTTAGTAACAAATATTGCCTTGTTCCCACTTCCAAAATTTGCACGTTTTACAGAAAATACGCTTTTACTACAATAAATATGTGTTACCATCTGTCCTATTTTCTCTGCTTTTCCGGTATCATGGGCCAATGAACGCAGACTTCGGCACGACGTAACAGTCAAGTTAGTCAGCTGTAGGTGGATCCCCAGTGGTCGGATGAATATCAGATGTACTCAACTGCTCGCTTTTGCGTTGAGTAGCCTTTCCATAGTTTTTTTCAGTTACCGGTAATATTAGTCCAGTTATTCTAAGGAGGTGTTGAAAAGTATAGGTAAGATATTAAACACTTGTATATCCTTGCCATAAATAGCAATTTTAGTTGAGCACTAGCTCATAAGACGTTGTTAAATAGGTACGGTGCGGTAACTCCAAGGAAGGCTAGACCTAGAATAATACTGTAATATGTCACAAACAACGATATTTTCTGGCTTGCATGAAATGTTTATGATTAATTTAATGACTCTTCTTGACTATTCAGCAGACTTATACTACTATATAGGCCACAGCATATTTGGAAATAGAAATTAATGGCTGTTTCTGTAATGCACGGTTGTGTGAAAGAGAAGAAATTAATCAATTTTACTAATGTCGGTTGGTCTAGATCTAAATTCATAGAGTCGACAAGAACCTGGGAAGCAATGATAAGTTATGCCGGAGTGGAAAGAAAGGTAGCATTGGAAATGATTGAGAGGTGAGAAATGAAGTTGTAGACAAACAGTTGATGTTTCAAAATATAGTCTATAGTCCATACTCATACTGTCATAGGACATTTCAGACTGTGATATATCAAAATTTAGTGTAGATATAGTCTAGTAATGGTATGCAAACACTGCTGGACTGTAGAACATGCAATGAGCATATATACGCTCATTTAGTACATCAGATAAAATGCATTATGTATTCAAGGTATTAGTTAGTATTTAGGGGTATTTTTAAAATCATGCTGCTCCAAATATTATTTTGCTTCCTTATTTTAGATACTGTACTACAAAAGAAAACGGCAATGTTCCACCAATCCGACCTAACGCAGGCTCTGATCCCTGCTGCTATCAGTGCTATAAAATGGATTAAACAAGAAGTCTTGAAGCTTAAAGGTATATGAGGTATACTTTTCTGCAATTGGAACTGCCCATCAAATTCATGTTGGAGACTTCATTGAGATTTTCAATTCACTTTTTTCCCTCGACTATGAAGATCTTTTGAGGTTAACGAGGTATTAATAAATAAAGCTGAGGAATTTGAAGAGGATATGAAGAATGTAAATGATACCGGTACCAGGGCACGTCTATTTAACACTGTCAAACATAAGGATTATACTCTCCACCCAACAATGATTCACTGAAGAAGCATGTGGCCCTCAAATCAGTTCTTGAGTTGGCAAACTGCAAAGAAAAATAGTCAAAATAATTTATGAAAGTGTGCCAAAATCAACTTAAATTGCACAGATTTTTGTTTTTGTATTGACTGCAGAAATCACAGTACACCTATAGAGGAAAAGTCGATTTTTGAGATAGTGGATTTCGAAAACAATTCAGAAGAAAGTGAATTAGATATTACAGTTGATTTAATAAGTATCATACATTTGTTTTGTTTTTTCGGACATTTGTTAGTGTCGTAGTCCTGTTTCTAGAAATATTATTGCCTTTGTTCAAATACATAACCACATAAACTAAAAAAAGATTAATTGTAAATTGTAATATTTCTGTTCACTATGTTATGTACATATTGTACATTCATTTAATTTTCTTGACTTTTGCGGTAAATTTCTAAGTGAGAAATAACTGATTTATTTGTGTTTTCGTGCTCACGATGTTAATTTGTGACTTCATTGCTTAAAAATAAATACGTTTGATACTTGATAGCTTCTATAAAATGGATGTAGCTTTTTATGCTGTTCTTGTTGTAAACTGCTTGTGGTTATTACATAAAAAATTTATTCTCAAATGTGAATCAGCGTTGTTGGTGTCGCTGCTTTCGAGGTCACTCCCGACTCCTGTCACACAATTAAAGTATTTTTTGTTGTTGGTTACAACTTACATGTATGCCATATTTTTCGTAATCTACCTAATAAATTATGATTGACTGAGGAAGTCCGATTTTGGTCAGGCAAAACATTACAGGAATACATTTGTGTTAGTGTGCTGTAGGGCTCTCGAATTGTATAGTCCTTATGTATGCGTTGTAAACTTATGGTTATTGAATTTCCGGGAACCTCTTATATTCAATTTCGCACCAGGATTGTGGAACAAGCTGTAATGCGTTCATTATGTTCGTTTTCACACAAAACTGAAGAATTTATTTAGTTACCAGATGTGCGCTACGAAACTCATTTTCTGGGCGTTTTCATGGTTTCGTCTCACGGCCCATATCCGTGGTAAGGATCTACAAGTGTTTAATAATTTACTTATACATTTTTCAACAACGTCTTAGCATAACTTAACTAATAATAACTAAACAGGGCTATGGAAAGCCTGCCCAACTCAGCGCAAGGTCGAGCAGAAATAACTAATATTCATCCGCTCGCTAACAGCTGGTTTAATTCAATTGTTACGTCATGCAGAAGTCATTGTTCAGTGCCGAAAATGTAGAGAATATAGGACAGATCGTAGCACATATTTCTTGTAGTAAAAGCGTCTTTTTCGTAAAACGTGCAACTTTTGGAAGTGGGAACAAGGCAATATTTGTTACTAAATTTTTAAGGAACATTTTAAAATCATTTTCAGGTAGTTACCTGATGTGCGCTACGAAACTCACTTTCTAGGCGTTTTTCAGGGCCTCGGCTCGCGGCCTAACAGTGAGAAAGAGAGAAAAGTCATTCAAAAAAATCGAAATGGAATTTGGATTTCTTACTTTTATTCATTTCAAAATCTTTTGCGATTTCTATTAGATTCGTTTTTCACTTCAAACTTTTGTGCGATGAAAATTTAAAAATTAACCACCGGGCCGTGGTTCCGTGATCGCATCTCAGCGATTTGGTGGTCAGACTACCGGTTTATGTGAGCCAGGGGTGTGTTACCTTTAATACAGCAGGGCCAGGTACAAACAAACTGGGTGAAACCGCGGGCCGCATCTTTATTTAACATAGAATTTTCTAGTAATTGCAGGTACAAAAAGACATTGTACCGTCTTATGCATAGATAATAAATTTGACTCAGGTATGGGCCTTGCAACATAAAGAGATTGGAATTAATAGCACGTACCAGATTAAAATTAATTAAAAACTCGTTTCGCGGGTCGCACATCATTCAGGCTGATCTGACCTGCGGGCCGCAAGTTGCATCCCCCTGCGTAAAAGATTCGATACCACTTCATTTTGGTTTTCGTGTCCATATATTTTAGAATTGCTCTTTTGTTTAATTCAAAATCCAACATACGGTATGTAGATTTGAATCCGGTAATTCCAATATCCAGATTATACTTTACCGGATATCCGATTCACAATAATTATAATAATCCATCGATAATGATCATACTTTAATCCACCGGTTCTCAACCAATGGTCTCTGGCTTACTACCGACCGACAAAAACATTTTCAGCTGGGCCGCAAGTTTACCGAACATTGCTAGAGTTATTGATTGATGAAATAATATGTTGCTGTTGTTTGTTGCAGTGGTAATTTCCAATCTAATTGCTGAAGTAAAAGTGTTTATATTGCGGGAATGATTATTTGTTTTCCTTATAGTTTTATCCCAGCATGAGAAAGTTCATGGAATTTTTATGCAAAAAGGTTGAGAACCACTGCTTTAGTCAAATATATAATCGGAGCAGTTCCCACACATATGGAGATTGATAAATAAAGGATTTGAATCTGTTATCTCTTGTTGTTTCTCTCTTTGTATTTGGTAAACAAGTCTTCCAAATTTCATTTGGTATTGAAGATTTTGTTTTTTATTTCGTTTCAATTTCCTTGTTTTTTAATTTTGCCTAATCGGCTTTTTCTATAATTTTTTCGATATTCGTTTTTTTCTCCACCCAAGGTTTTGTTTTTCAGCGAATTTATCCGAGATATTTGCTTACTTTAGTTTATCTGCGCAATAGTCTGAAATTTGTTTGCTGTCACAACTGCTGGTATTCAATAGTTGTGCCTAATTCAGTTACTTACTTACAGTCCGGTTTTATCTACATCGTTGAAAGATACAAAAAAAAACTTTTTTTTATAATGTTTTTACCACATATCTGTATGAAGTGCAAGAAATTGAACGGTACATTGCATACAAAAATTGCAAAACAAAAAAACATAATCAAAAATGGAAATTCTTTAGATATATATATGTACAATACTACAATAATTGATTATCTTTATGTGATTAGGTGTATTTTTTATGATTAGTGTTTGATGATGCTGTAACTGCACCGATCAACTGTGTTTTATATCTTAATAATAAATATAAAAAAATACCTCGGTCACTCAATCAACATAACTCGTATATTTTTTGTTAAAAATTATTTTTCTGTACACTTGTTTTTTTTTGTGAAAAATGAAATAACGATTGATTGTCTTGTGACTTTTCATCCACAACTTCCAACAGTTCACGTCACTATAAGCGCCTTTTTCGGGGGCGATTGGATAATTTATTTTCAACGCTGACATAATCTGATTTGCTTCCTTGGAATTCTTTACCATGCATGGCTTGGCGTTAGGAATGCGCTTTCCATTGCACCTCTGATTACCCTGTGTGGGTCCGCAGTTTCGAATTTTATGCCGGGTTAATTATGTGCGAGAGGATTGCTGGATTCCTCGCCGCCGTTCGAGTAACCGCTGTTCGGTTCCACCATTAAATCCATTCATCTGAGAACAAATACCTGGCAAACTAACCCCATATCCGACATGGACTGGTAACCAGACGAAAGGTTAAGGTTTGCCATATTATTAAACCGTCTTATCGAATTTCCCTCCCCCCGGGATGAATATGTAAATCCTATCCTAATATATCATTATTTTAGGCTTTCCATATCCGTGTCAATGTGCAGCCTTCCTACTGAATTACTCCACCAGAAAAAAATCATAAAAGCAAGATAATATGTAGTCAACCAGAAATTTAAAAATGCATTTCCATTAGTGAGCAGAAAGACTCTTGAAATCCCATATTTCCCGGCAAAAAAGTCGCTTTTCTAGGCCCAAATTTTTGGCTTGATTTTGGGGAGTCGTTTTATTAGGCGGGTATGATAATTTTTTTCGTGTCGCTTATTATTCAATTCGTACCAATTCGCCGGGAAATACGGTACTTGGAATCGACTTTTCGTATTTTATTGGCCATAAGGCGCCCTTGAAAAGCCCATTTTCTCATAAATCGATCATGCGCCTTATAAGCCTAATGTATGAATCAGGTAGTACTTCATTCTTTATTGCCTACACTCTACTCAAGACTAATACAAGTATTGATTTATAAACCGTTGCGTTTTATAGTCCGATGCGCCGGTGTGTGTGGATGTAAACCAAATCGAAGCAATCTATTGACTGTGCGACGTTTCTGTGTGTTAATCAATCCTAGGAAATTGGGGATTCCAATTAAATCAACGGAAGCGCTCGATTTGATTGATCTATATTTTCGCAAACAGTAAAAGCGATGAAATTGAATCTGATTTTCAATCCGGAGAGTAGAGATCAATGCTGCGTGGAAAAACAGTTTGCTAAAGTTTAATTACTTGGAGTGTGGATCGAATGTTGGTTCGTTATATACTTTAATTGTCATGAAATCCTTAATAATAAGAAATACGATTGCTTAGTTTACATTTGAACTCTGCAATTAAAACATCGTCCTGAGCAATGACATATTTATGGTACTCCCGAAGTATGTGAACCAATATGGCGGACACCGGAACGTAGCATGTGTACCAGGCTAGGGTTAGGCCATAATTTTATTCCAATTTTCCTCATTTTAGTTCTATTACGACTTCGCGGACTAGCCAAGTGACTCTTGTAGTATTTGTACCTGAAATTATGGCCTAACCCTAACCTGGTACACACACTACGATCCGATGTCCGCCATCTTGGTTCACATAATTCGGGAGTGCCATATTTATTTCAATGTTCAAGAGCATCTGACTCAATGTCCATATGATCGTATCGTGCATCTGTATGAGTGATTACCACACAGCACCGGTAACTCTGTAATTCGCCCGATTTGGTGGCGTACAGACCTGGCGTTTCCACTCAATGCTATAATAATTGTATTACCTGTTTATCTATTATTTCTTGGTGTCTTTCAATGCCCAACCTCCAACACACCACCTCTGGATCTAATTGAACGACAGTGTTAGTAACTAGTCTCCAGCAGTTTACACAGTTCAGCATTTCTGAACCTTTTTTACCTAGCCAATTGTGAATACCCCACGATTGGCTAGGGGTTGACCATATGATCTTTGTTTCTAATGAATGCTGCTGAAGCCATGATAACAGTGTTCTGAAAACTTAATTTCCGACCTTACAAATGTAATTAGATATTGAACCTTGGGTGTCGCGGTTCAATAACCAGTTTTGATTCCACGCGACTTTCTTTTTCCAGTAAAATGTGTGCTGAATTTTGTTATTTTTTACTGTATAAAAAGAAACAAGAGAGCTACGCACAAATATATGGACACGTTAGACCAGAGCGAATCAGTCCTTACCGGTACCTTTGACGCTACCGGTACCCTCAAAAAAGTTCTGAATTTCCAGTAGCAAGAATTTTGCAGAATCAAAACGTACAGCCAGTCATGACACTGACTAAAATCCGTGTTCCCATGGATAAAAAATAATACAGCAAAATTTTAGACGAAATATCAAATTTCATAGAATTCACGCAAAATTTTGAAATAAATAAAAGTAGTAGCCTTCTAGCGAAAAAATTAATCTTTAACCACTGAAAATTTCAAAGCAATTGGTCCAGTATTCGAAGAGAAAAGCGACTTTTTAAAAACGTGTCAAAGAACAAGAACAACAACAACAACAACATAATATTGAAACGATCGTTATGGCCACTAAACGTGTCCAATAAACTTGACTATGACTATGATAATACACGATACAAAACATTGTGGGAAGTGAAGAAAGTTCACGCCTCCCTCGTCAAGTCCACGCATCTGAAACAAATACTGTACCTGATTACTAATTCAATACTTGCTAAATGGGACGAGTTGTTTTGGTTTGCCCTACGATTAAGCCATCTTGTCGGGTTTCCTCTCCCCGGGATAAATATGTGAATTTTATCCTCCCTATTTGACTCTCGGTCATCGCCCTTTAGCGGTTATATTATTTTGAACACGCAATTCGCGGGGGCCACTCGATCTGGTGGAAATTCTGGAAAGGTGAGTACCATGTTTTATTGCATTATTCCTAGGCTTACCATATTCCTGAAGCAAAAACCCCGCTTAGTAATAGTTTACACATTTCGCATACCATTGTGGGTAGATTACGGGTATCAAAATTAGCTGTAAATCCTATTAAAATATCCTCTATCGGCCTTCGCTTCAAATAACTGAATAATGGAAATTGTTCAGCTCATTGGAAAACTTGCACTTTGTTTACGGCTTTAATGCTTCAACGACAGTACAGTTGGGTGTTAAATTAACGCATGGTTCATACCGTACTTCCTGTCATATGGCTATGACATAATAATTTTTCTCTCTATCTGAACAAATGAAGTGAGACACAAATCAGTGGTAAATCGGCTGCCTCAATTTTGTAATAGTATCAAATAGAAAAATTATTTACGACTATCATACTGCAAAACCAGAACAATTTAGTCTATCGCCGGGACGGTTGAAAAACCGGGACTGTCTCGGCTAAACCGGGACGTATGGTAAGCCTAATTATTCCTAAATTTTACAAGATTTTGACCACACTTTGAAAACACGTTTACAAGATTCTTCGCCGTTGTAGGTAAACAGTAAATGAATTTACCGCTACCCCATTACAGTTCGTTCCGGAGCTCCCGCCATCGTACCGATAACCACAACCAGACTACCATATTCATGTCGTTCAAGAATACGGCAATACCGTGTTTCCTTTACCATCAAGTCCATGCAACCGAAACAAATAACTGGCTAATCGCTACCTGACAAAGACTCATTTAGGCTTTCCGTATCAAAAAATATTGATATTTTTTGTTATTACATCTGCACTTTTTACAGTAGACAGGTAGAAAGCAAAACAAAAATAGAGTTTTTGGTATTATATTCATGATTATATTCCTGTATTCATACCTCCACTGCATTTCAAATCTTTACTTCCTTTGTCCACTTTCCTATTTGGACATGCAGACATGCTGACATGGGCTTTCTCTGTTTTTACACTTGTTCAAATCAAGACGAAAGCAGGGAACAAACTTGATGTGCAAGATCACATGAGATAAATTAGTAAGCGCATTTATGTCGCGCACGTGAGAAGTGGCAGCTAATTTTAATGTGTTCCGAATAGCTCGATGCTATGTTCGTCTATTGTGTTTTTGGTTTGAAAAGTGTTGGAGTCCGCGGTTACTTCAGAAAAGCATAGGGGTCTGCAGGCACATAAAGTTTGAGAACCACAGGTCTATATTAATATATGTATATCGTTTGAAAATATTAAATACACTGGAATAATATAATCGTATAATAAGTGTGTGTTCACGAATATTCTCTGACATACTTTGTGGTCACAAATATTCGTATGATTAATTTCATAGGCGTTCTTGAGGAGCCTCTGGCAGTTGAAAATGTTGATTCGTTTTGGCTTCGCTCCACCAAAAATTTTTGATTTGAAATATTCTAAATTAATACTTTTTTTGGAAACCCGCAATTGCTGACCGGAATTCTACATAGTTCCAGTAGCGCTTGGCATAACTCGCTTTTAACTTTTCTCGGAGATGAGTTTTAATTAATTTTGAGTGAATACTCGTAACTTTGTTTAGATATCTTCTACTTCTGATTGAGAGCGCATGTAATAATTCTAAATGGTTTTAGCTCTGTATTTCATTGGTTATTCGTAAATCTGTAGCCTTGCTGAGAGATGAGTCTCCTTTACTTCTGAGTGAGTGCCAGTATTTTTGCTCAAAGATTAGTCTCCTTTGCTTGTGAGTGAGTGCCCATAACTTTGCTCAGACATAAGTTTCTCTTATTCCGAGTGAGTGTTCCTAAATTTGACTTAGCTCGGAGATAACTTTTCTCAGAGATGAGTTTTCTTTACATCTGAGTGAGTGAGTGTAATTTTGCTCAAAGATGAATCTCCTCCACTTGTGAGTGAGTGCCCATAACTTTGATCAGAGATGAGTCACCTTTACTTCTGAGTGTGTGCCCATGACTTTGATCAGAGAGGAGTCTGCTTTACTTCTGAGTGAGTGCCCGTAACTTTGATCAGAGAGAAATCTTCTTTACTTCTGAGTGAGTGCCCATAACTTTGCTCAGAGATGAGTCTCCTTCCTTTTTGAGTATGTACTCATAACTTTGATCAGAAATGAGTCTCCTTTACTTCTGAGTGAGTGCCCGTAACTTTGCTCATTGATGAGTCACCTTTACTTCTGAGTGAGTGCCCGTAACTTTGCTCATTGATGAGTCTCCTTTACTTCTGAGTGAGTGCCCGTAACTTTGTTCAGAGATGAGTCACCATTACTTCTGAGTGAGTACCCTAAATTTGATCATAGATAATTCTCCTTTACTTGTGAGTGAGTGCTCTTAACTTTGCTCTGAGATGAGTCTTCTTCACTTCTGAGTGAGTGACCATAACTCTGCTCAGAGATGAGTCTTTTTTACTTCCGAGTGAGTGCCCATGCTGATCGATGAATTTACTTTACTTCTGGGTGAGTGTAAACTTGCTTTGATCAAATTATCTTTAGAAACATCTATTTTAGAATCTGTGTGTATTTTCATATTTATTACATTCGGATATTAATACTTCACACTTTTCGGGCGAACTTTGAACTCCAAACTCTTTGATTGTTTCAAAATCTCACTAAATTAACCCTCAATAAGCCTTTTCACCATTGATTTTTGCTAATGTATCATCTATCAGTATTAAAAGGGTTAATATCCTACTCCCGATTCCCTCGAGAGTTCCGCTTAAATGTCAAGGACGCTACGAGTCTTTACATCATGTTTAAGAATACATGTGAACGTCGTGTGTTTTCTGATGCTTTTCTCATCACTGTATATAGTACTGGATGCACTCGAGACAATAATATATGTGTTCGAAACAAGGTTCTGAGCCCTCAACTAAAAGTGGAAAGAGTACTGATAGAAGAGTTGCAAGTTTGCCCAAATCAAGGACCCAAGTCTTCAACTAAAAGTGGAAAGAGTACTGATAGAGGAGTTGCAAGTTTGCTCAAAGCAAGGTCCCAGGCCCTCAACTAAGAGTAGAAAGAGTACTGATAGAAGAGTTGCAAGTTTGCTCAAAGCAAGGTCCCTAGCCCTCAACTTGAAGTAGAAAGAGTACTGATGGAAGAGTTGCAAGTTTGCTCAAAGCAAGTTCCCGAGTCCTCAACTAAAAGTAGAAAGAGTACTGATAGAAGAGTTGCATGTCCGCGAGTAGAAAAGTTGGGAACCACTGTACTAGAGTATCTGTAATCGTATAATGCTATCGCAAGGGTGTAAGTTAAGTGTGTTTGCTGCAAGACTCGCTTGTTATATTCAATATGGTGAAGTTCACTCAAGTTCAATGATTAGCCTAGGTGGATTTATGAAGAAGTGGCCACTCGTGCCATTTCAGCCAGCTGCTGTAGCTCTATAGAATACCGGGGATGTGGCGAGTATGCCATCTGTGACCCTAGCTCTGTTTGCACTGCTAATATGATGCCCGTCCGGGCAAGCATTCAAAATTGAACAGTTTTAATTAGACATCAGTGTGAGGGGGGGAGGGTACTTTTGTATCCTTAGAAGGAATCATTTGTATTCTAAATTGGGTCATATTCAAAAAATCACACAGTTGATCATCTACAATTCACAGACACAAAGATTCGTGAAGTTTATTTTTGGTCTTGAATATCAGACTCCAAACGCTTAAGCCATCATGGCAAGCTTATCTCTGATTTATATCGTAATAGTGCCCATATCATATATTCTTTTTATATCATATTTTAAAATGGGCATTTTTCGATATAATAATTATTATCAATCATTTTTTTTTGGCCAATTACATTTCCCGAGATCTATGAAAGCAGGAAAATGTTTAGCAGGGAAATGTTATCTATTCAAAATAAATACCACTTTGATCAATTTCATGAATAGAGATTTTAAAATTGCAAAAAAGTAAATCCCAATTATCTGAATTTTTGGAATATATTTTTCTCAATAGAATTTCAATAGCTCTGATTTTAAAATATGTTTAATCTTTTTTTTTGTACATTTCTAGTTAGACCTAATTTATAACAGGGTGTCCAACATTTCGCTGGATTTTATAGCGATACCAATTGAAATTTCCTTTGTCTTTGTTAATTAATAGTTGTTATCGTGCTTGGGAGTTCTCATTTATCAAAATTTATTCAAACTCACAATTGTTATTTCTACAAAATTGGGCTAAATTTTTTGTACACCCAGTTTATTTAAAAGAATTTACTCAACAGAGTTTTATGAAGTTTCATTTTCAAATATAAACAAGTTCAAAGTTTATTGTAACTTCATTTTTCACATTTCCAGTTTGATCTATTATGTCATAAATAACAGTTTTGTTCGTTAGGTTCCCGGCTTTGTGTTCATGAGATAGAGGAAGTGAGGTCATATTTCAGGAAGGGGACAAGACACATTGCACTGCTGTACTGCAGAGGTCAGAAAAGTCCGTTTTGTTTATACTTCGATAATATGTTCAGCGCTGTGCATTAGTTTTTAAATTGATTATATTCTTGATTTTATGAACTTTTATTTGAAAAATCAAAGAAACAAACAAATCGTTGTTTTTCTAACATATTTTGTGTTGTTTGTTGAACGCCACCAAATTGGAATATTTGATTTTCCAAATTTGAAAATATTATATTACTAAATATATCATTACTTAGGATAGTACCGAATATCGTCGCATATAAGCCGATCCTCTAAAAACGGCCTTGAAATGGTGGAATTATAGAAGTTCTCATATAATCCGACCTCACACATTGTACACTCTTATTGTGGGAACGCTTAGTTGTAACTGTTGGAATTAATTCAGCATAATGTCATTTCGTTTATTAAGTGCGATCAGAGTTATGCTTGTATAAGCCGACCCCTTGGTTTGGCAATTTTGTTTGAGTTTTAAACTCTGCCTATATGCGAGGATCTACGGTAAATTATTTGGTTTTAGGCCTTCATTGCTGTGCACATAATATAGAAAGTAGATCATGGTTTTTAGGTTCTGAAAAACTGAATTCAACCTTTGAATGAAGCAGACTGAATATTTATTTACTGCCTGAATCAGTTGTATTGAATATGGATAATTTCTGTTTTGGAAAGAATTTAGAATAATCTTTTGTTTGAAATTTTGTCTTGTATGATTAATTTAATTCGAAGAATTTGCTGAAAGTTTCTGATACAGAAAATGAAGAAGGAGTGATAAAAGTGTTGCAAAACAGAATATTGGTCGGCTCCAAGCAAGGTCCTGAACCTTAGACCAGGGCTACTCAACTATTTTCACCAAAGGTCCGTGTACAGAACTTAAAAACTACTGGGGTCTGGTCTTTCATTCGACATCGTTGAATGCGACTTTCTCAGGCGGCTAGTGATTATTCGCTAATCAAGATAGCGCTATTCTCATTGTATATAATCACATTTCATAAAAGGAAACCTTCACGTTAACCAGGTGGGCCAATGATCCAACATAAAGAATCAGGTGCGGTCCAAATCAAATACTCAAAAGGTTCAGATTTGGACCGCGGTCTGCCAGTTGAGTAGCCCTGCCATAGACTACAAGTGGAAAGACTGTTTTTGGCAATCAGCCAATCACTGATGTGCCAGTAACTTTATTTTTGTTACACAGGTTTAATAGGAATGCAAACATCACTAGCGATCGCACTTAGTGCTTAATAGGTTTATTTTTAGTGCTGTAAAAGGCTTTAAATGTCGGCTCTCAATTTTAAAATTTCCACTCGGCATTAGAAGCTAATAAAATATTAATCTCATGATGCGGGGCTGGTAAAATTTTTAAAAGCAAATAAACCTCACCAAGTGTGGTATGTGCTAAATCTCAGTATTTTGTGGTCAAATTATCTATGTAGTATGTTTGAACAATGATAATTTTTCTGTTGAATATTAACAGGCCCCGCCCAAGAAAACAAACTTTAGATCGTGCGCGTTTGAATAGCTTGCTATTTGTTGCTTAGAAACGAGTATTAGGCAGTTACCTAGCACTTTGTTTGAATATGAATACTAAAGATAGATTAGGTGTGGTAGCGGTCAGGGACTGTTTATATTCAAGTCTAGAAACAGGGATGCCAAAAGCCAATCTATAAATTCTTTTTTAATTGTTCTGTTTGATATAGTATGTTTTTTATTTTAAGTATACAGTAATTTAGAAGCTCTATACTAGACTGCATAATAGCACCTTTCATTTTCAAAAGAATGATCAAAAATTCGTTTATATAGTAAATTCATCTCTTCAACTTGGCCTAATTTACAGTGTGTCCATGAAGTCCCTTTACAATTTTAATTTTGTTATGAAGTCAGTTCTCAATATATCTTAACCAGGTTTGTTGTTTTTTAATCTGTAATCGTTATGATAAGTATTTTTACTTCATTTAGTACATCTGTGAGGGCCAAAACAATATATGGTATCGATGAATTCCGTTTGTAATTTTAAAAATGTTTTAGACTTTATGGGACACCCTATATATTAATATATATAATATGATATATTTGTATTCAGTGTTTGAAACATTTATTTCAAAAATGTATTCGGAATGGTGTATTATTATATATAGGGTTTGTATGGATGGAATTGCTAAAGATAGATTAGGTGTGGCAGGGTAGGAGGCTGTTTAATAGTTCCTCAGTTGTTTTGTATTCTGGGGCCTCTTGTCTTCTTGAACAGGATATCAAAAAATGATCTGAATAATTGGTGCGATATTTAAAAAAAATAGGTTCCAAGTATTTCTGAAAGTGTAAAATAATAAAATCGATCAGAAAACGGTTTTGCCAAATTAATTTTTATATTCAATGAGTTTGTCTGTTGATCGTGACCAAATTTATTATAGGCTACTCAAATTTCATAATTGGAAATAATAATATTTGAAAATGTTTACAGAATAGTAGACACTTCTATTGTTAGTGCTTTTTCAGCTCGGTGAAAATAAACAACTGATTACTGATGGAGATCTGTGTGATATCTGAGTAATTCCATGTTTAAAATTCTGGGAAGAGGGAGACAAATCAATTGAATATTTAAATTCTCTTTTTTAAACTTTTTACATATTCGATATAGTATATTCATGATGATATTATTCGCCAACGCAATACAAAGTATCATGACATAATAAAAATACCGAAAAGAGACTAATGTAAATCGTGCAACAGGACTCACGAGGGACCTTGAAATTCTTGAAAAATCAGCCATTATCATTTGAAAAATTGGAATTTTTTAGCATTTCATAATGGGTCTTCAAGATGAGGAATTGACTTCATACTTCTCCTGACAGTGTAATGATACAAAATAAATCCAAAACGGTTGTGCTAATCTTTTTTTTTGGGGTTACTTGCTTATTTCATCAATTTTCGTCAAATTTTTTATCCGTGCAATTGGTGCAAATTTATCTAGTGAATATGGCTCAATTTGGAGAATATTCAAATCTCCTATTCTAAATTATATTCCCCCCAGATAAAAATCTGCACATGTAGCATTGAGGTTAACTGCATTCAACCCCCCTCTATATTTTATTTTGAAAATTCTGACCCCGAAATTGATACATGAAATCTGTTAATTTTCTATTAATATTTAAAAATTCCAAACACACTTTCAATTTCAAACAAGAAATTGTACCCCCCCCCCCCCTCCCCAAATTCTCCTCAGTTCAGCATATGTTGCTTTTCTATCAATAGATCAATGTAATGAGCCTTCCTGTCTACTTGAGTTTCCTGCTGGATTACACAATTGTAATTAGAAGCTAAGCCAGTCATTAAATAGGAATTATTGAATATATCGATTGAAAAATTGTTCCCTCCTTTATCTGATTGTGTATTATAATTAGTGTTCCTTTAGGATTTCCCTCACCTAGATAGTTGATACGACTGTTGATGCTCAAGTATACACGGACACCGATGTCATATGAAAGTGCTCCCAAATTATATAAAAAGTGTTTCCAAATGGTATAAGAAGTGATCCAAATGGTATAAGAAGTGATCCAAATGGTATAAAAAGTGTTCCCAAATGGTATAAAAAGTGTTCCCAAGTGGTATAAGAAGTGATCCAAATGGTATACTTCAACTTCTCCCTATAACGCATAAAAACTATATTGGAATTTGTTATTCAATCTGTTTGCGTTACGTGCAACTTGTACGCTGGCTTTTGTACATTTGTAATAGTTCATAAAAAGTGAAAAATGATAATAATAATACACAAAAATACAAATTTTCTCCCCAAAAACTTTCAAATTATTTCCCGGTTAAATATTGAATTAAAGCTCTCAACATTCTAAGTCATTATTCAAGAAATGTGTGAGAAATATAAAATTATTTGATTTTAGCATCCAGGATTCGACTTCTTTTATGCAATTTGTTACAATCTTCCAAAAATAGAAGTTTCAAATCTTTTAATCAGTAACTGTCTTTATTTAAACAAAAAACGACACGATTTTATGAATGGAACTGATTGTTACCATATAAGGGAAGCATTTATGACACAACAAGTTAATGATTTGTGACATCACATTGTAATAAAATCATGATCAGATATGGTCAAGCTAGCTTTAGAAAAGTCTCTCTTATATTAGAGTGTGTTATAATGGCCTTCATCAATCATATGTTAATTGAGTTTTCCTGTTATGTCAGTTGTTGCCTACAATGTAGTTTTAAACGATGAGTTTCTTATAAACTTGCAATGACAGTCATTTTTTTCATTAACTACTTGACAAATTGCTTTGAAATTTTCAATGGTGGACGTGGAAGGTTGTATTTGTCGCTATCAGGCTATTACTACCGGTATATTTATTTCATTTCTGTAGGCTCTATTGGATTATTTTTTTTGGTGTGCAGTAATGTCATCAAAATTAAAATTTGTGCATCTTGAGCAGATCCCTGTTCCTCATTATCTGGTGGTCAGGCGAAGCCGTGAAAATTTTAGTACCAGTAGTCTTCTGTGAAAGATTGTATACTCCTACTACTTCGTTTTGGGCTTTGTATCCATATTCTCGAGCATTGCTCTCTTGTTATTACCGGTAAAAACTAACGAAAAGACAGATCTCTGAAGTAAGATCGTATCAACATTTATTACTAAGCAGAGGATGTTGTAATCCCAACAGTGCTGCAATCTGCTATGTGGTTAATTATCCAAAACCCCATAGAAGCATTTTGATTATTTTAATCGCAACCACGGCGAACTCTCTCTGAGGTTACAACCTCATGGGGATAGGATTAACGTGCTTTCGTAGGGTGATTCGTGCAGTATATTAGGTTGGGAAATCCCACACCTAACCATGTGCAGTGCCTTCAGTTTAACAAATTTATTTCTCTATGAAGAATGTATTCAAAGAGTTAAGCAGTGTTTCAAGATCCGCGAGCCAGAGAGTCTCAACACCTGTGGCCACCTCCTCTTCTATACCAATAATTATTTTTGCTTTTAACGAGTTGCAGAGTGATACATGCCGTTCATAAGGTTATTAATCCCTTACCTATGGATATGTGATGAATTTTGCTAAATCGCAATTATAGTTTTCTGAAATATAGCTTTCTAAGGGTACAGATATTTGAAGTTACTATTTTTCTTTAGTCAATTCACCATTTTTGCTTATGTTCAATTATTATTTACTGTATAACAAGGATATTCCTGGTTCGTGTTGCAGATATATTTATGTATAGGCTGGATAGGATTTACATATTTATCCCCGTGAGGAGGAAAGACTATAAAACACTTCATCATAATGGCGAACCACGGCTTCTCGTCCAGTTACCAGTACATATCGGGCATGAGATTAGTTAGTCAGTATACATGAACATGATGGTGGAGAGAGCGGTAACCGACCAGCAGTTACAGGAACCACCTTACCTCGTTGAGGAGTCCAACAATCAATCCTCTCACACATAATTATGCCAACAGGATTGAAAACTGCGGGCGCGGTATGTGTTCACGCACTTGTTATTTCTGTCTGCCGTTCACATGTTCACGCTGCTTCTTGTCCTGTAATAATTACCGTATTTAAAAGACGCTATTATCCCGACATGTTCACGCTGGTTCGAATGCTGTGGGGATAATTATGTGCGAGGGGATTACTGGATTCGTTAGCGCCGCAGGGTGATTCACGTAACCGTTCAATGCTTCTCCGCTGTCCATATTGGGAACAATTAACCAGTTGGCTATTTCCACAGGATAAGTCCCTCGTTAGGTTCTTAATTAAGTCTTCCGATCTCATCTTCGAAATATTTATGAAGAAATCTTATTTACGAATAAACAATCTTTCCCGTCAGGAACAATTTTGAAAAACACTAATCTACGTTTTGTTTTGCGCTTATCTAT